ATAGGCGTAGACGTTCGGGAGAGGGAGAGAGTAGAGGGAAGGGGAGATGATGGCCCCTTCCCCCAATAAAAAAAAACTGGTTCGCTCATCACCCGATTTTCACTTACCACTCTCTTCTTTGCAGAAATAGGAATTTTCAGAAAAAGGGGAAATGAAAGTAAAAATTATAGACACTATATTTATTTACGTTTCATTGTAGATATTTTTATTTGTTTAAATACCCTTATATATACAAATTTTAATTTTGATATCGTTGTATTCTATACAATTAAATATTAAATGGGAGGCTTTCAGGCTGAAGCCCCCTCCCCCAAATAGTAAAATATAACCATGTTTTATAGAAAAAAATATTAAAAAATTATCTCTTAAAGTATTATTATTCGTGTAATTACATTTAAAAGGACTTAAGGAATCACTTAAACACCATTTCATATAGATAGTTAATTTCTTTCTTTTTTTCCAAAGTTTATTATCTATTTTTATGAAAAAAAAACTTTCGGGCTGAAGCCTCCCCCCAAAATTAAATCCTGGATCCGCTGGTGGTCGGAGTCCGTATTATATTAAGGTCAAGTTAATGTAGGGAAGCCTGCGCTCGTATTCCTTTGGTTCTTCCATTACAACTATTATTCGCTACGATCTCATATTTTTCCTTTAGTTAATTATCAAATTCTTTCATATTTTACATTTAAACATTGTTTGTATTAAAGATTAAGGTGAAATGCTTAATTATTCTAAAAAAAAAAAAAAAAAGGTACTTTAGAGGACGCTAATATTGAAAGTTCTGTTAGAGAACATCAATGAGAATAAAACCTACATTGTATTAAAAACTGCTTGATAATATAATGATATACTGAGTTTAATCAAAATCGTTAAAGCGATTTTTGAGAAAATCGTAAAAATTTGTAACATCAATTGAATAAAATTAAAAAAAGTTGCTGTAACATCAACAAACAATAAGAAGCAAGAATATCGTTTCGCTCCCCCGCTCAATATTTTGAAGTAAAAAAAATAAAATCAAAAACAATAACAATTAATCTAAAATAAAATATGTAAACTAAAATCAATTAAGAAAATAGGAGAAGTCCACTATATGGCTACCTTAAGGCCTAGAAGAAGTAGGAATCCAATTATTTTACCACACCTTCTGTTCCTATTATTGATGTTTTAGTTTACATTCAGAGATAATTATATGTAGGAATATATCCTAGAATTTTATGATTCATGTGGACATTTCCATTTTAGCAAATTTCCCGTGGCAAATTTGAAGCATCCGAGAACTGAAGTTCATCAATCCCCTGCCTCTAACATTTAAAAAAAAATTATGTAATATACTAAACTACTTTGTTAACATATTATCAAATAAACCTTATGAAAAAAAAAAAAAAAATGTGCACACACACACGACTATTTTTGAATATTGTTATATATTTTTTTTTTTACAATGATTTTGTTATTTATTAAATGATTTTGTTAAAATTATCAATCATAATTTTTATAGGTAATATAAACTCTCGACTTTTTTGGTGTATCGCTCCCTTCCCTCCAACCAGAATGGAAAGTCTGCGCCTATGAGACCAGTCATATGAAAAGTAACTCTTCGATAGTGAGGCAGAGGACGAAGATACCCTATTATTTAAAAAAACAAAAAAAACAGACTGGTTTCATATTGAGGGCTTTGGAGAAACACCGAGACGAAGACATAGAGGAAGAGATAGATATTAAAACGATGATTGTAGATACTAAAATGATAGATAAATGCTCCCCTATGCTGAAAGGAACTTCTAGGAAGGAGGGAAAGGAGGAGAAGTACTTTCAATTATGGATAATAACAATTCTCCAGATATTATCTGAAAATCTGTAGGAATTAATATACATTTAATTATATATGTGTGGAGCAGCACTGGGCCGCTAAGCCCAAGGTCCCGGGTTTGAATCTGGCTGATGACGAGTAATTATTCATCAGCTGTGGATCTACCCTCAATTCGGGAGACCCTCTTGGTGTACACCCACCAATAGTTTGAGTTCCCTCTATAAAGTGGAGGCCCTGAAACAGTACTTCCTAACAAAGTATTGAACCCAAGAACCATCCTAATTTGTAGTGGTACAGGTTTTTATTTATTTATTTTAATTAAATTTATTTATTTATATATGTCTTGGTCATTATCAAAAATAGACTGAAACATTAAAACTAATTATTTCATATTCATTATTATACAATTTTTTATTCTAAGTAACTTTGTAAATCTCATTGCATTTTTGACGTGATAATTTTTATTTATTTTATTCAATGATAGATTTAAGAAGTTTAGGAATTCCTTATTAGGTCCATTTATACATTAGATATTAAAAATAATAGTATTGTAAAAAAAACCTTACCCTTTAATTTTTTTATTATTAAAAAATATATGATTTATTCCTAAAATTTGCAGATTTATCTTTGAACTTACCTACCACAATTACCTAAAATTTGAAATGGCCCTTGATGAGCAAAAGAAATGGTCATGAAATGAAATGTTGAATCAATATATATTTGGAAAATATTATAGTTTTCTAATCTGTTAAAAAAAAAAAAAAATGAAAAAGTAGTTAAAAAGAAAATTGAAATTATCGGCTAGCCAAATCCAGTTATTTTTTTTCATAGTTAGCCAAATTATTTTAGAAATTTTAGAAAATCTGGCTCTGATTACCTTAGATCTAGTTTTTGAATGGGTATTGATAATTTTAGTCTAGAGAAGAACTTCAAAAATAGTATTATGTCCACTTTTCCCCCATTTTTAATCATTGTGTGCCCCACACATCCAACTTAATCAATCACTCAACCGTAACTCTGTGCTTGACCATACTGCACTATTGAATTATCCATGAATCAAATTACTTCTCCTTTCTTTGTTTGTCTCTTACAGCGTAGGGAAGTATTTATCTATAACTGTCAATTTTTCCTGATTCTTGGTCTAACTGATGTCTTCGCCTTACTTACTGAACAAATGATGAACATATTCAGATTGTGAAAAGCTTAGGCATCCTCATGGTCTTCTACAATCAGCGATGTAGTCCAGTGTTTTCTCAATGAGTCCCTGTCATCATCCAATTTCAGTATAAGGCCAAACCATTTTCATTGGATGGGCTTCCAGGACCTCCTTCATTTCTGAGATCTTGAGGTCTTCCCTAATTGTCTCATTGCGGATTCGATGTCTTGTCTTCTTCCTCTCAATCCTCCACAAAAATTTCATTTCTGCAGCCGTGACTCTGATGCAGCTGCTCCAGGCTCTTCATTGATACTCAACTTTAGTCCCATAAAAAAGCATAAGACAATTCTGTCTTGAAGGTGTGGAGCTTCACTTTTCTGCTAACTTCTTGCTTAACAACAATATTGCAGATCTGACTTAAGTTTATTTGTTTATCTTATTTGAGATTTCTAAGTCTATTCTCTTAGTTCTATCTATAACTGTTTTGAGGTAGGTGAAGTCTATAACTGCTTCCATCTCTTCTCCATTACTGAATGTTTGGATTCTCTCTTGTGCCCTTAATGGTACCAGAATCTTGATCTTACTGGTGCTGATCTACATCCCTTTCCTGCAAAGCTCTTCATTCCATTCAGTCATTTATGGTGCAACTTTTCTGTGGAATCCACAATAAGAAATATGTGATCTTCATTGAGAAGTTGGATTGCAATAAGTAGGATGTTTCTTCATTCCAGGAATTTTCTTTCAATTCAACTTTATCATATTATTGCTATTTCATCTAAGTATATTATAAATGACAAAGGACCTAAACTGTTACTTTGTTTTATCCCATTTACTAAGTTAAAGGTTCCTAGCCATTAGCCTACTGATTTCTTTTGCATCTTGATATATAAACTTTATAGCATCCACTAGGCTCTTTGGAACATTCATAACTCTGAGCATCTCCCAACTATATTGCCCCATCCTGAAACATTTTCTTTCTCCATCCTTGCAATAGCTTGTTCCACCTCTTTCTCCTCCATTACTTCATCAAATTCTATCTCATTTCATCATCCATCTTCATTATATCTCTAGACATTTATAGGGCCTTTATCATCTAATGATCATTTCACCTAGCTCATTTTTAATATTCTAATTTCTTTGCATCTACATCCCCATACAGCTTCCATTTTTACTGACAAAAGCTTTATATTTTCTCTATAATCCTGGTTTTGCCTTTCTCCAATTTCTTCCCAAGATTTCCTTTTAGTTCCCTTTACTTCTTTCCTCCTATTTCTGGCCAACTAATATATTTGTCCTTTTTAGGAGTTTTATTATTGCAGTATTTCTTCCAGACTGTCTTATTTTCCTTAATCTGTACCCTCAGTTCTTCGTTCCATAATGATATAAGTTCATGACTACCTTTTTCACTGTACAGACTATCATAGCTGATTATAATACACGGTTTTTTATTTGTTTCCACACATCATCCAGGATTACATTCCCATCTAATCTCTGGTGTCTGCTTATTTATATTGGAATTTTTTCTCGGGGTCTTGCAGGTGTTTCACCTCGATCCTGTCATAAGCTGTAGACTTTAACTTACATTTCTTTAGTACTTACGTGTCCATTACCTGTAGCATATGATTGCTTCTGATCTCTACTCCTTGTTTAACTTTCACACCAGAGAAGAATCTACTGATGTCCTGTTATTATATAAAATAGTCAGTAATAAAATTCACTATTAATTTGAATTGAAGATAATTTATAATTACCTTGAAGTTTCTTTTCCTAATATTTGGATTCATACATATGATATAAAACATTACAAATAATTTATTTTATACATAAATACATTAAATCAATTACTTATACTACCTTCATTTACAAGATATTTTGATATAAGATTTGTTTCATTAATGTATTTTAGAAACAAAAACTCATACATAATAAGAAGCGTTAATTTTTTATAAATGTATCAATAGTTTTATATACTTTAATCTAGTGAAATATTGTAAATATTAATCAATCGAAAATTAATAATAAAATTTGTTGCAGCTGGCAGACACTTCTTAAGGCCTCTGTGGTTCCTCTTGGGATGTCATTTACTATACTGGCTATATTCCAATTTTTCATGAGGAACCTTAAAGTTGACTGAGAATAGTTTCTTATTTACAAACATTTGGAACATAAGTAGTATGTTCTTTATGGTATTTATTACACATGTTTAGTATTAATTTGAAGTGTGATATAGTTATAAGCACTTATTTCAAATGTAAAATAATATAAGGAACCCATAAATAATATTACAACTGAAGGTTTTCTTATATTCTCCATAGTGGCTAAGAAGAAATGTGTAAATCATGAAAATAAAATATAGAAATGTTAAATCTATTGTATGTTTATATATTTTTTTGTAATACAGATTTCCCAACACTTGAACAATACTATAATTGAAAAGTTATAGAATAGTGGGTCATTTGAACTACATAAATTAAAGTTCACACTTTTAAAAATGTACCTTTTTCATTCTTAGTGTATTATATTAACATACTTATTTTATCGCTCTGAAATTCATTTCAAAATTAAGTATAATCTATATTGATAGTTTTATTACTTAATGTGAGATATTATAACAATATAAATAAAATTTCAAGAATAATGGTTTTTTTTTTTTACACAGTAGATTTCATCATATCGTTTGAAGTGATCAAATTACAATTTATAGCAATTTTAGAAGAATATTTTGTAGTTAGAGCCGCACATAAACAACTTTCATCTTTAGATGACTTAAAATTAAATATTTTATGCACTGAAAATTTCTTTGAACTTAGTTAAAATACTGGGTGGCATTGAAGTATTACTAAACGGAAAATTAGGTTCAGAGGTGAGAATCATACTTGTTTACGTACATTCAATCTTTTCCCCCCCCACAAAAAAAAAAAAATAAATAAATAAATGTGAGCCACAAATCTCTGTCATAATGAATAATTGTTGTCCTCATTTTTGTTGGGAAAAACAAAAAGTGATTTAGATGTTTTACTAATGATTAATTGAGTGATTTTAAAATAAAAAAAATTTGATTTCATGTTTCATTTTTTAACATTTTGTAATTTGTTCCTGATAAAAAGATAAGACCCTCAAAAAGCATTTCTCGGACACTAACTCAATTCACTCAAATATTTGCAGCCTCTAACTCAATTGGGAGTGACTCTAGAGGCGTGCAAATCTTTAAAAAAAAAAAAAAAATTATAAGCCAAAATTTTGACCTTCACTTTAATGTCATTGTTCTTCCTAGAAAACTGTGATTATTTTTAAAAAATCAAAAAAAAAAATCTGGACAATCTTACCTCACAGTCAAAACGAAACACCTCACTTCTTATTAACTTTTAAATATTTTATTCAATACCTTATAGTCAAGCCATTATTTTCTACCACTCCTTTCAGTCTGTTTTCAATGGAGTCAACCAATTTATTGGGGATTCCGGGCTTAGCCTGTTCCATTCTCCGAGGAGGTATTTTATAATTTTCTTTGCTAGGAAGTATATGTGTTCTAATTTCTATCTACAATTTCCATAGCTGTTCTATCACATTAAGATCTGGTAACTATGATGGCATTTTTAAAACTTTGGGGCAGTTATAAACTAGCAATTCCTTAATTAACAAGGTAGAGTGTTTAGGGTCATTATCCTGATAAAAACAAAATTTGTTTTTAGCCCAAATTTTTCACAATTTCTTACAAGTTTCTTCTCAAAATATGTTTCTTCACTGTACCATTTGAATATTTTTACTATGAAATGAAGATGTCCTACACAAGAAGTCGCCATACATCCTCACACCAAGATACATAACAAAAGAAAAGAATATAAAATATAACATAAATAAGAACAAGAAAAATAATATAAAGAAAAAACACTTTACTAAGATGATTATTATTTTTTTTAAGTAATATAAATTGAACTATTTATTTATTCAATAATTTCTATCAATAACCAGGTGTATCATTTTTACAGTAAGCCACTGTATTTATAACTTCATAAACATTTAATTTAAACCTAAACGTGTTTATACAGGACAACCCCCTTTTACACTATTAATCTGAAGATGGTCTGACAGCCGAAATGTCTGGTAATGAAATATTTTTGGAGTGGTGAAATTGTTTTTTTCTGGTCTCAGGAATTTCTAGCAAACTGCTAATCTTCACCTCTTTTCACTAACTAAGGGATGATTCTGGGTATACTGAGGTATGTCTCCCCAGCACGGCATTTCTTACTCTGAAGGAATAACAGTTTGAAAAATAATAAAGAAAATGGCTCTAATTAATCATTAGATTCGATTATATAAGGTGGTAGAGTTTAGTTCATACTTCTCGACCTGCAAGAAAAATTCATAAAATATGATTTGAAGAAACAAGCTTAAGTATATCTGCCAAAGGTCTATGAAAGAGAATTGAAGAACTAAGCCAATAGAAAAAGTCATCTGGGATAAATGTTTTGGAAAATAAAACTGCTGCTGGACAGTAACACAGAAGGGAAAAAGCTCTTTGTTGATCAAGATTGAAGGCAGAATAGGTCCTTCCTGATTAATGGATATCTCAATTCATTAACTACTACAATCTACATAACAATTTATGTTATAAGCTACATGACTTCGGTTAGTCAATTCCCTGTGCTCCAGATAAAGCATGTAATCACAACCTGCCCCACATTAGAGATGTTATATTACATAGTGGAAATGAAGAACTACTTGTTGTTTAAGTTCTTAGTGTATAGGCGGAAAGAGACAATGGAAGTATACCAATTCAATCTACCTCAGAGATGTCTTTCAGAAGAAAAGGGCTGAGAAAGAACAGGATTCCATAAGGCGTAGACCATGGGAAGAGGAGGGCCCTTACAATCCTAGGCTGTGCCTCTTATGGTACCAATCTGGACCCCTTCTATGTGATGTACATGAATACGAATATACATTTCTTTGGAACATATAAAAAAAATCTAGAGACCATATCTTTGCTCCTAATTATCTGGTCTTAACGATTTTTTTTTTGTTTTTTAGGAAGTTTTGTAAACTTTTAAATACTCGTACACAATATCCACTAAAAAAGTGTACACTTTTTGAGTTATTCGGAATCTAATTTTACCATCTCTTGTAACATTTTTTCCAGCTTGTCACATCTTTTCGTTGAAGTATGTTGTATAAATAATAATTATTGTTTAAATAATAATAATTTTTACAATCCCTTGAACCTCTGAATCATGGACCCATCACCCTCTCCCGAATGGAGGTACTGGTGCAGAGTATCTTGTCACAGTTTGATCCCCCTTTCATTTTTAATAATAAAAAGTTCCAAGGAATTGTGTAAAATTAGAAAAATAAACGAAGAAACAAATTTTAAAGTACCTCGCTACTGACAATTACCATATCCCTAAAAGGTGAGTGAGAGAGGAACTTATTGAAATTAACATTATATAAGGATACTTTTTATTGTTTTATTCTAAAAAAAAGTAATGATGTTGAAAATAAAAGCAATTTAAGAATCAGGAGAACTGTTAAGTCTTTGGTATAAATATTTTTTTACTGATGAGACTAATACTAAAACGATAGGAAAATAATAGTTAAAATATTATAAAATGAAAAATGTTTTATTATAAATATAGACCGATATAGGCAGACTAGGGAGATGATGTAAAATGTTTCTTCCTTTAATTGGAAAGAACACAATGCAATTGGTTAATAACTAAAATGGTTCCCCTTCGAGTTTATATCAAGGCTCGGCAAAATAAATTTTCTCTGACAAAAACCTAATGGGCTTTGAAATATGAAAACATAATTAAACAGTTGCAGAGCTTATCTTTATCAGTAAAAGCTCTTCAAGTTTAATATGACTGATTCATTTAAATGCTTATTGTAGACTGGTTAATCTGTTATTTTCCCTTGATTGTTATTTATGATGGGGAAAAGAGAACTTTTTTCTTGACTGAGTGGAGAACACCATTCCCTTCATATAAACCAATGCAATTCATTTATAACTAATAATTAGAAGAAAAACAAGTTGAGGTACTAGTTTACTTCGGTACCCAACTTAATAGTACCCATGATAAGTTTCAATAAATATTAATACATACAAGCAATTTCAAACTTTTATATACAGGATACTATTTCAAATAAGTTTAATATATGGTACTAGTTCCGTTGGTACATATATATTTTTAAGTATAAGAAAGGCTAAGGTTCATAACGAAATAAATTGGATAAAAAACCAACAATTTTAATTAACTGAAGATAATATTATTATTATTAGTTTATCTGGCAGAATAACATCTATAACACTATGGTAACCTTCGCTGGAGGTTTTGCCAGGTTCACTATTCAGGTTAAGAAAGTTTTGGCCGGTCCAGAGCTATTTCAGAGTGTTTTATCGCTGGGGGCGTTGACTGTCAAATCCTTGCGGATAAGGATTAAACCAGACGTCTTCTACCTTATTTATCCTTCTTCTTAATATGATTTTGTAAAACACATATACAATTTAAAATTGGATTCTAACATAATTGAGAATGTTTTCGCGCAATTGTGAACTAAAGAGCATAGTAGCTATTATTTTCATTAGCCATTTAACATTCGAAGTTACTCCAGCTTCCCCAGCACACATACATTCCATTCATAAAGAAAGAGTTGAAGATGGATCTTTTGTTCCTAGGGACCACAATCATATTGTTGAAGGAGAACATCATTCTGAATTTGACCATGAAGCAATTATTGGTGGGCACAATATATCAAGATCATTTATAAAGTATGAATAATTTTTCAAAAATATGTCTTCTATTATGTTTTATAAAATTGCAGGAAGTGTAAAAGAGGCTCAAGAATATGATCACCTTTCCCCCGAAGAGTCAAAAAGAAGGCTCAGAATTTTACTAGGAAAAATGGACCTAAACAAAGATGAGCATATTGACCGAAATGAATTAAGGGCTTGGATATTAAGATCATTTAAGTGAGTATTCTTAATTTATGGTACAAGGGCTTTTTATTTCAACTATGATTACGAATTATCTTTATAATGTTAAATTATAATTGGAAAAATTCCAAACCACACAGCCTGATGTCTCCAAAATAAAGGCAAAGAAAAACCTATCAAATTTTCGTCAATTCTGGTATCAGAACAGAAAAAGAGCAGCTAATCGTACATCATTCCATGACATCCAATCTCATACTCTATGGGGTATTGGTGATTTGGCTATCACGATTAGTTGAGCAATATTAGGTGAAAGCAAATTAGATTCTTTATCGTTCATTTGAAATATAAATAGATGTGTTATCTTTCATTCTAGAATGCTTTTTTTTTTTTTTTTTATTGCTTTATCATAATTTGTTAGTTAGGTTTTTGGATTCTTTATCAATTTTGGATCTTTTTAGTCCAATACCAATTAAAAGTATATACTGAGGAAACATAAACCTGACTATATTAATTTTTTTTTTATATTGGGTACATCAACTGATTGTTAATGTTAGACACACTTGCATATAAATAGAAAAATCCAATCTATAAAGGCTTAATTTTCAACAGACTGGTGAATAGTTAACCTGCTAACATTTTGCCAATTCAGACATCGTCAGGACAAAAATAAATCTCATTTATAAGAATATTTTTTTCAACAGTGATATATTCTCCCTTTTTTTTTTTTTTTTTTTTTTTTTCTGAATCTTATTTATTCAGAAAGAAAAAAATATGGTTAGACACAATGTAAATCAAACATTACTAGTATCGATGCAGTTTTATTTAATTGTATATCATTGGTCTCAGTTTGAAACTATAACTAACGAATCCTAACTTTCAGAAACAAAAAGCTCCAAAAACTAAATTTTTATCTTATTGAAATAGCTTTTATTTAGTTTTCTTTAGATGGTAAGTGATGCACTATCAAGCTCAAAGAATTAGCAATTGTTTAACATAAAATTTAGGTATTAATAAATTTCTAAATGTTTGACCTTACACGATTTCATATTGTAATCAATGGTATATATTTATTTGTTATAAACTATGGATTTTATTGTGCCAAATAGATTTGATAAGTATTTGTTACTTATATTTTTAAAATTTTGTTTTTCATTGAATTCAAATCCTCAAACAAGTTCTTAAACAGGTCCTCAATTCCTTATCATAAGTAGGAAACTCATAAAAAGAAGTGATAAAATTCAATTTTGTCTTTTGTTGAATGTTAAGTTACTGTTTAAAAGATAAACCACATTGAATTGTTCTTTTTAATGCTAGTAAATTTGGTTAGTTACAAATATTAATTTTAATTACGATAATAAATTTCATTGGTTTTAATTAGATTATGACCCTGTAATCCTAGGCTATAGTATTTACTAAGATGAACAAGTTTTAGTGATTATAATTGTCAAAATAGTGTGTTAGGAATATTTTTCTGTTAATGCCTCGCCTTTTAACTTTTGTAGGATGTTAACAGAAGAAGAATCCGCTGATAGGTTTGAAGATGCTGACCAAAATGATGATGGGAAAATTACATGGGAGGAGTATAAAGACGATACTTATGGATCAGATGATGATTTAGAAGGGGAAGGGGACATGGACACTGTAAATTCTTATTTTAATTTTTTTTTTAATAAGTGGGAATATTATCCACAGTAAATTTATTGAGTTTGGGAAATTCAGAATAATAAATATGTTTGAATTTAAGTGCTTGTTTAACCTTAAGGGTGTTTTCAGTTTCTTTTAATAAATATACATCTTTTTTTGTTTTGGTACTAGTTCCAAATTGCTCCTACAAAATGGTAACTGGTTTCAAGGTCATTTTGAGCACATTTTAAGTGGAATCTTGAAACTACCCAAGTGTATTTGAAAGTAGCAGTTGATCTTTTCATAATAGATTGTTTAAGTTTGGTTAGGTTAATTTCCCATCAGATTTACTTTTCTTTAAACATAAATAACAGCATGAAGCAACTTACGAAAAAAATTGCCAGCTGTTGGTCAAAACCTGAATTTCTAAATAAATCTAATTTTATATGTCTATTATCAAATGAATTTTACTCCATCATAAAAAAAAGACTACTTGTTTTCAGTTTTTACTCAGTAAATCGCTTTTTGTGCATTTGAGGCAAATATGTATTGTTAGAAAACTTTGTTAATTTTAAGCACTTTTTCTCTTAGCAAACCTGTTTATTTACTAATGGAAGTAATCACTTTTAACTTTGTGTAAAATACAGTAATGTTTTTCTGGTCATTAGTTGTTGATTAAATTCTTTTATTGCCTTTTTTCATATAAAAAAATCTGTGAACTCTATAATTATTATTAAATAATATATTGGATATAATATTGGAGTGATTACCTTTATTTTATTTAGGCTTTGTAATTCTTGTTGGTTATAACTATAATTTTTGCTAATGCTCGAAACAATGTAATTTTATCATTACTGTTTTTTTTTGTTTTTTTAATGTTCCTAGGGCGTGTGATTAAAATGCAATTGTTTATCCGTAAATAAATAATAATATATATTTTACTGATTTGACAGATGCTGAAACAAGACAAAATAATGTTTGAAGCTGCCGATGTTAATAAAGATGGGTTGTTGGATAAAAAGGAATTTGTCTCATTTTCTCATCCTGAAGAAGCTCCAGAAATGCTTCCTCATATTCTCCGGAATACTCTTGATGAGAAAGATACCAATCATGATGGCATGATCGATTTCCAAGAATTTGTTGGAGATAAGGGTAAGATACCTATCTTTTTTAAACTGAAATGTTCTACATTAATAAATGTTGTGGCCTGGGGTATTTCAAAATTTAAAATATAGTTTTTTTGCCGGTGAGTTGAGTTTCCTCAAAGGTGGAGAAAATACGAGTAAAATTAAACAACGAAAAAGAAAGGTAAAAAATGAGACCTGTAAATATTAAAAAAAAAAACTTGCACAACAAAATATTAAATATAAATATTGAATTAATCAAAATGAAAAATAAATAAATAATCCCCCTTTTGAATGTTTACAATGTTTATTATATTGAATAAAAAGATACGTATAGAAAAGTTAAAGAAATTAATATATAGAAATAGGAGCAATAAGATAATAATAAGAGTATAGTAATTCGTTGACATGAAACCAAAATATAATATTCAGTGAAAATAAAAAATTGTCCATTCAAAAATAAAACCTACATACAAAAATAAATTTATAAATAAACTTATAAATATTCAAGATAAAAATATTTTGGTCATCTTAAATCCTAAGACTGAATATTACTGCCAGGCTGGAGCATAGACAAATGCGATAAACATCGCGAATAATGCCTAATATTTAAATAATATACATTAAATTAAATTTCTGGGACAATTACCCCTCAATCTTTTACAAATTAAAAATAAATAGACAGCTGTTCAACCCGATAACAGCCCCTGGAGATCGCGCCTTATAAGTTCCAGAGAATTAATAAGTTTACATATCTGGAATCTCTGGTAAATAGAGAAAACAAAGGAAATCTAGAGATCAAGAGAAGGATAGTAGTGGCAAACAAGTGTTTTTTTTGCCTAACTAAGCATTTCAAAACTAAACTCATCTCTCACACCACAAAGACACAGCACTATAAAACACTCATTTGTCCGGTACTGACGTATGGCTCCGAAGCCTGAACCATGATGCAAGGAGACGAGCTAGGCCTAGTGTTATTTGAACGGAAGGTGCTCCGCAGAATGTATGGTCCTACGCACGATGAACAGAATTGGAGGATTGAATTTAACTCAAGAGCTTTACAATTTGTTCAAGGAGCCGGATATCATAAGAATCATATAGCTTGCAAGACTGCGATGGGTAGGGCATGTGGTGAGGATGCAAAATGATGAAATCCCCCCAAAAAACTGTAGAGCAATGAGCAAGGCTCTAGGAAAGTAGGATGACCATGGCTGCAATGGCAGGATTGTGTAGCAAGGGAGGTACGTGCACTACTTGGTGTACGTAACTGGAAAGCGGCTGCACAGGATAGAGACGCCTGATGGACACGTCTTGAGGAGGCCAAGACTTGACGAGTTGTATTGCCGTGGAAGAAGGGAGCAGGGTAGCTCAGTGGGTGAGCACTGACATCCAGAGCGCAAGGTCCCAGATTTGCATCTGGCTGATGACTAGTAATTTTTCATCAGTCATCGGTCGACCCTCTTGATGTTTGCCCCAGACTCTATAAAGTGGGTATCCTTAATTAAATAATTAATTAAGGAGCAAAACCTGGCGGTTGAGCACGATATTGGCCCGTCACCTCTCTGCACAACCATTGGCCTTGTAACACTACTTCCTCTCGTTGTACTGAACCCTAAGACTCTTCATGGGTTGTTAGTGGTACAGTCTTTTTAATAAATTTATTAAGCATTTAGTAAATTAACTATGATTTATCAAATACCAGGACCATTTTACTAATAACTAATGTTGTTACTAATGGTTTCTTTTGTCGTTCAAAATTTTTAATTAAGTCATATTTTGTTCTAGGTAGAGATCATGATAAAGAATGGTTAATTTCAGAGAAAGATAAATTTGATAATGATTTTGACAAGGACAGAGATGGAAAATTAAATCCTAATGAAATTTTATCATGGGTTGTCCCTAGTAATGAGTAAGTAGGCTAACTCAAAATTAATTTATTGATTATTTATATAAAGATATTGATTTTTTGTGTATTGTTTACTCTGTTTTTATTAGTGAAATAGCACAAGAGGAAGTCACACATCTATTTGCTTCTGCTGATGAAGATCATGACAATTTGCTTTCTTTTGAAGAAGTAATTGAAAACCATGATATATTTGTTGGGAGTGAAGTTACAGACTATGGAGAGCATCTTCATAACATTGAGGATTTCAAAGATGAGCTGTAATGTCATTACAGAGAAAAAAAACTTTTGTGATGATGAGTAAGGGGACTTAAATGATTTCATCTTTATAATACAGCATTTAAATTGTAAACTAAGTGGTTATTGCTGTTGCTAACTACCTATTTTATAACTTGAAGTACTTTTCAACTTACATAGAACCTGGTTTATCTAGAATGACATGGCCTGGGCTAATCTGGATTATGCAAAATTAAAAATAAGAGATGGTAAGATTAGTAAATAAAAAATTATTTTTTAAGGACTGTTAAAGTAATTTGCAAAAAATATAAATATTTAAAGAAATATTCCATGTATTAGCAGAGCCTGGATTTTCATGCAGTTAAACCTTGCAGAATATGCAATCAAAACTATTCAGTATGCATTAAAAAAACAAAGATTTGAAGCAAAAAAAAAAAAATAATAAGACAGCTATAATACTCAATATATTAATGTACAAAAAATATTGAAAATAATTTCAAATTGTTTTTGGGAATATTTTTTTAATAAAAATATTCTTATTCTATTTATGCTAAAAGTGGCATTTTGTTATAGGTAATCTGATACTATGAAAAATAGTAAAGGGAAATGAAATATGAAATTATACTAATAAATCATACAGAAATAATCATTATTTATGATCTTTTATAAAAAACACTTAATTTTCATCTACTACCTTTTGTACTATCAGTAGTGGTATTCTAAACTAAATTAATTAATGAATTTCTGAAAACTAATCTATCATTTGATTTTTTTTTTTTTAAGAAAGTTAATCTTTCGATGTAAACAAATGTGATGTGAGCAAATTAATATATGCGATTAAAATTATCAGTATATTTTAATTAGAATCTTGTTTTGTACAATAATTTTCAAAAACGGATTTCCATGAGTTTTAAAAACAGTTTCATCTTGGAAATTATAAGGGTCGATCCAAGTTTTCAATTTGTGAGAAAAAGTTGTCTAGAAGTTTTAAATGGATAAAACAAGGGAAATGAAAATGATGACCTAATCTGGCTACTGATTCGTAAATATATTTGGCAAGTAGTTTAAAAACTGCATGCTAACAAAATATGCATTTGCAGAAAAATCTGGATTCTGTTTATAAGTACATTACATAATATATTTATTAAAGTGAGTGTAAGGATATATTTAATATAAAAAGTTTTTAATCAAAACTTTTTACACTTCTTACTACTCCTCGCTTTCTTATGACAATACTTGGCCATGATTTTGTCAGTAATACATGAGATGGGGTAGTAACTACAATATTACAGTTACTGCCTTATTGGCAAGACATTAATTGTCAAAGAAAAGGTTCTAGATATGCCGGGTTTCTATTATAAATTTAAGCTCACTTTGTTTGTCTCTAAGTCGTTATCAATAGGTAACATAGTACTTTTTAAAACATAATTTCTATTTGCCTTTTATAAAAATGTTGGTTATAACCAAGCCTGTAAATTACATTTAATTACTCAGCCCGATGTTAGCATTATGTTGAAAAATACATGTTATTAGGTTGTAGTGATTGGATTTATTTTTACTATCACTATATTTAAGTCCCAATTATAATTCATCTATTATGCAACATTAATTTATTAAATCAAATAAGTTTTAATGTGTTTTTACACACATGTTGATGTGTTTATGCACACCTACTTTAAATAAATAATGTATTTTGTTAAACTAGTCATTATGTATTGTAATGTAAAAACAATTTACTTAATACTTTACACTTTCTTCTTAAGTTCGTAGTTACTCCCATAGTTCTTATTTATTTTAAAATTCTGTATTTTTAATTTATTTTTTTATTAATTGTATTCAATAGTTTCTGACAATTATGACAAGATTTATTGTATTTTTTAATTATAATACTTGCTAAACTGAACTAGCTAAGCTATCCATCGAATAATCTTAGTTTGTAGATAGCTTTACCAAGTAGAACACTTATTCTAGACCATTCTTGACTAATTTAAGTATCAAATTTCACCTTTTAAGGGATCCATTTAAAAGTTTAATTTTGGTCTTTAAAGGGATCCAAAGAACTTGGTAATTTAAAATTGACAACATTGTTGATTTATTTCAGAAAGTTATTAAGTACACTTTTGATACTGGAAAGCATATTTTTTTAATTTCAACTTCATTCATCTGCACAAACACACAGTAAATGCATCAAATTGACACAAACCATTTTATATATAAAATATAGTTACTAAAATAATTGCAAAATGTTCCAGTTTCACCCAGGAAAAAATCATAGGGGAGACGGGTCGGTTTTGACAATTTTTATTTAATTGCCCATAATTTTGTTAGCATACCAATTAGCTGGAAGGAAATTGGTTTTTATATTAAGTGATACTGATTTAAAAAAATGTTTGTGATTAAAAATACAAGTAAATTATAAATAAAACTTTAGTTAAAAGTTTAGTTATATATTCTCTTTATTATTGTAATAATTACTGCATAAATTTATGTAATCAGATCTTTTACCAATATTAGTTATTTATGACTCTTCCTTTGTATCACTATTCATCTTTGATCGTTTATAGTGCCATTAAATTTTAAGTTGAAACATCACAGTGACTATTTTTGGTTGGATATGTAGTCGTTTCTACTACTAAGATTGGAAATGCCAACATTTTTTTATATATTTATTTCATTATTATTTTTTTTATTAGATTTAGAGAATCCTTACTTATAAAATGATTTTTCAACTGTAAATATATTATGATAGTTTATCTGATATAATGTATTTATATGAATGTTTATCTAATAAATAAGGATCTAAGTGACTGATTTTTTAAAACCATATTTACTGTATTTACTTAAATTTATGACAATTACCAATTTCAAGCATCATATTATACATAAAAAATCTGGTGCGGTGCGCGTATCACACAAATTTCAGTTACAAACCTTAGAATAGATAGGTTTTAACGATAATACTTATGTATATATGAATATAGAAAAGTCAAAGTGAAGATGATGCTTTAACTTCATTTAAAACAATTAATGATTGTTGATATGTAGGTATTTTAATGATAATACCTTTCTATCTTATGTATATATGAATACAAAGAAGTCAAAGAGAAAACGATTCTATAACTTCATTTAAAACAATTAACTATGTCCCTCCTTTTCTATTGAATCTGTTAAACATATACGTCTGCGCATTGCTTTCCATTTCCTTTTATCACTGTCTATAGTATCAACAAAAAATATGAATGATTACAGAGAAAAACAGAACTTTTGGAAAATTCTGAGTTTTATTGGAAATATTTATCACAAAACTTGTCGAAAAATAATTTAACGTTAGTAAATATTGTATGTTATAAGGTTTATATTAGCAGATCCTCAACATTTCGTGTGAAATCCTTTTTAAAAAGATATGGATGTTATATACGAATGTTAAACTAACAATATGAAAGCTCTGTACAGAGTGGTATCGAGTATGTGCAAAGGTCGGGCACACTCAGATGATTCCAACCCTTATTTCTCCTTTAATTACAAATCAATTTATTCTCCATATATATTTAACAATTTTTTTTGTATCAGATACAAATGCGAAATGGCTAATTATTCAAAATAAAAAAATTACAGGTACTTTAGAGGAAGAAATTTTTAAAATTAGGCATTTAAACACTATTAGAGAGCATCAATAGGAATAAGTCCTACATTTTATTAAAAACCGCTTAATTATATACTGATATAATGAATTTAATTTAATTTAATAAACAAAATCGTTAAGAGCCATTTTGGAGAAAATTGTGTAAAATCTATGATATTAAGTGACACTCCCGGTTGGCCCTTGTCTTTAAAAATAATAATTGCAATTGAAATTCATTGATAAAAATTGGACAGTTCTCTTTTAATATATATCTTATATTTAAGTTTTAATACTCCCTATGTCACGGCAACTAGTCTTCACTTGTCTGTTATAAAAGTATTTTTTCTAATAACAATCCATGTCATTTGTTTTAAGTACAGACAATGTTCATCTACATTTATTTTATTTAAAAAAAAAAAAATGATATTTGTATCCTCTGACTGCACAATCATCAGGATATTCGTAAGCATGATCAACTTTTAATTTCTATTAACTTTATTAATTCATGTCTCATTTTATACATACACGCCTTAATTTTTACTTTCATATGGCTATATAAGTTATACATTGCAAATTAATTAAATTATCATTTCTATCGGAAAGAACTTTCTGGAGCTATATTACAACCAGGATGCATCAATCCTGGTGTAAACAAACCCATTTAACTATATATTGCTTATTAAATATGAAGCATGACAAAGTGGAGGAAATGTATTAATTAAATAATAATAATTGCAGTCTTTATTTAAAATTATAATTCCATTACAAAACTAGAATAAAGTAAAATTTAGTACATAAAATTATCACATGACAATAATTATTTTGGATTACAATGCTGACCGAGAACGAAGAAAAGTAGAAGAAAGATTTCTCTTATAAACCATAGGAAAGTACTGTACTCTTCCAGTACTCCAACACTGAAAAAAAAGAAGAAAAACATTTATCAATTAATATAATATAGAAAAAATAAATAATATAAGAACATCAAAATAATTAATTTTTAGTAAACAACCAAGTTTATTAAAACTCTTAAAAAAGGTTTAACTATGAAAGAAAGAGGTTTTGGTGAATGAAGAAACCTTCAATCAAAACAGTTTTTGTAACAGTGATTCATCTCAGTAGAATAGCTAACTTAATATGATGGATTTTATGAATTAAATTTTTACTCTCACTTACCTATATATGTAATATATAGTAAGGGAAAGTATTGCGATCGTGAAAATGTTTGAATCTGAGTTTTCAACGGAAATACACGTTTTGAGGTTCCCTGACTCCAAATAACCGAGTCCCACCACAAAATTGTCAGTGTGTGTGTGCATGTGATCAGTCTAGCTCAAAAACGAAGTTGTACGAAAGTGAAAATACATATTTAAGTCAGGTAGATGCTAGGTATGTTATAGCAACTTTTTTATTAAAATCGGCTTAAATGATTTTGATTAAACTCGATATATCAATGTATTTATTAAGTGACCTTTAATATCAGCTAAGTCTTATCAAAATTGATATTGCTTTACCTTAAGGCTTCAATGGCTAATGTTCTCCCTCTGAAGTATCATTAATTATGTTTATTTTAAATAATTAACAGCCTCCCATTGTTATTAGTAATAAAAAAAGGCTCAATATAACCATTGAAAGAATTTGATAATTGAATAAAGGAGAAAAAGTTTGTAGAATACAGAATATTTATAGAATAGAAAATATATTTTTACATCATAAAAGTATTATATAGATACATTTTTTTTACTTTCCTACCTATACCGGGTAAGGAATATATTGCGATCGGATCAAATTTCTGATATGCGGTTTTCGACGAATCTATACGTTTCAGAACCCACTGAGTCCGAAAAACACATTTTTAGCCATTGATCTGTCTGTCTGTGCCAAGATTTTCTCAGGAACTAGAGAACCGATTTTGTTGCTTATTTTTTTATTTTGTAGGGTTTTGACTACTGATGCTTATGACACAAATTGGGTGCACCCTGCGTAATACCTGAAAAACATATTTTTCTGTAGACTGAAGCTCAAAAACGGCTCCAACGATTTTAATGAAACTTTTCTATAACTTTTTAAAAATTGGCCTTTCAATTTTTGCACATGTACTAAATTTCCAAGAAAATTCAGGAAAAAAAAGTTATAAAGAAAAATGTTTTGGGGGGCCTAACTCGCTAAGTATATATTCTATGGTAAAATTTATAATTAATTGAAAGGTAATTAAATTATCAACAAAACAAAAAAAGATCATCGGAATCTAACCAGTATTAGCAATGATACAGCATGTTCTTTTTTCTACAGATGTTTTAATTTATTACTTTCCTAGCTATACTAGTTGAGGAAAGTATTGTAGCTATACTAAGTGAGGAGGAAGCATTGCGATCTGGTCAAATTTCCGATATGTGGTTATTGACGGATCAATACATTTCAGAGTCCTCTGAGTCTGAAAAACACTGCTTAGCCTGTTTTATTGAAAGGTGGATAAATGTCCTACAATATTATATAAAAATCGTTCATTTCGGCAACTACTTACGAAGTTACAGCTATTCAATTTCGTCTGTAAGATTAAGAGTTCATATCCTGGTATCAGTAAGGGATGAATGGAATAGAAAAAGAAAACTAAGTGACAGTAAGGAAATCCACTTTTAACAGAAATTATTGTGTGACCAAATTAGGCTACGGTAAAAAGTTTTTGATTAGCAATATTAGAGGAAATTTTTAAACTGATCTACCAAAAGCCGGTTTACATTGCTTTAGTTTATCAAAGAAATCATAGTATAACCTTTTCTTAGATCAATTTTCAGGAAAGTGAATCTAATTCAATTTTTTGTTTTGTTTCTTAATGCACATATTTAAAGATATAAAAACTTTTCTGAAATAGGTAGGAAAGTCTTGTGATTGAAAAAAACAGATTTTTTTTTTAACACTTTTACAATTATCATGTTTTGGTTTAAAAGATTTTCTTTCTCTTAACTACTGCATTCAATAATACATTGGAAAAATGTAATGCATACGTATAATAATATAAACTCATTAGTAATACTTACGATAGTTAGGTTGGCTCCATCAACAAAATCTTTTTGGAAAGAAAAACAAGTGGGTATTTCATCAGATATCCCCTTTATAAGAAATCTGCAAAAAAGGAAACAAATATGAGAATTTTTTTTTTTTTAATGAATATTAATATAATTTGTTGATCATGAAAAAAATTAACTTAATTTTTAATAAAAAAAATATCAAGAGAAGAAATTTAAGAAGACAAGCTAAAATATAATAATAAAATAATAAAAAGAACTTTAATTTAATGTCTAATCCTGTAGCATGTGACAATTGAGATAGCACCAGTTCTGAGTAATAGTTAAAAGAAGTAAGTTGTGTCTGAAGTATAAAATGTGTGAATTATGTTAATGTTAATCAATTGTATAGACAGAAATATAAATAAGATTACTGAAAGTAAAAACTAGGACAATTTTATTTGTGTTTGTAACTACAGGATGATTGACTAATGGTCAGATGTACACTGTAAAATTTAATCAATCTATTATCATTTTTTTAAGTAATGATGTTCTTAATCATTGATTAGTTAAAACTTACAATTTTAAATTAATTAAAATCTTTGTGAAATTCAAATGAATTAATTATGAACCATAGACTAACATAAGTAAACAGAAATGTGAAATCATTAAAACCAAACAATAAATTACAAACAGGAAAATAATATTCACTGCATATGAGGCCAAATCCCACTTTACAATTTTTTTCAAGGGAATCATAATATTAAGAATATCTGAAATTTCTGGAGAAGTGTAAAAACTTACAGTACAGTACCAAGTCAATGGATACCATTTTAGGGTGCATGTACTCGGCGGCAGGGAAAAGACTGAATAGAGAGAGGATGAAGGTGGAACATTAAGTAGGAACTAAATAGAACTCAAGCTTATAGAAATTATTTCCCATTTGATAAACAAAATTAAAATAGCTTTTTTGTATTATAGTAATTGAGGACATAGAGTATTCAAATAATATAATATAACTTATATAACACAGTATAAAGTAAAAGTTTATAAATTTAAAATCTTATACTTACCCTGGTTGGATATTTAAGGTTGTGCCAAGTGATGTTATATAAACAGCTACGTAATGACCTTCACTAAAAAGTACAGCAAGATGACGACTTTCACTATCCCAATCCATTTTCTTTACTTCTCCTCCTATCCTGTGGACATTTTTTTTATATTTATGTGAAATATTAAAATAGCAAAAACTAGATGCTAGGTCAACTATCAATTCCTCAAGTTAAGAAAGAACAAAGCATACAAACAATTTCGTAATGTTAAAAGATTATAATAATTCCTAAATCAGAAAATCTTTTCATAATTCTTTGAGTACTTTTTTCCTCTTATTTAGGGTTGTGAGCAGTTCTAAGAAATTTTTATCAAATTACTTCCTACACCTTAACAAAACCCAACAATATTTCATCACCAGGAGATGAAAAGTACCCAACTAAGCCAGAATCAGACTCATATACACAGAGGCAACGCATTTAAAAAGAAAAAATGTCAATTATTGCTTTTTTCTGGAAAAATTCACTAGGATGTAGAGAGTATAGCAGTTCGCACTGTAATTTACAAATTACCATTGTATTTTCATTATTTCATAAACTTACATATCTTCAGTTCCAGGAATCTGAACAAATGTTGTGTTGGCAACAATACTAGCGGGGGGAGCATCTCCAAAGAGATCTCTATCTCTTTGCAGGCAGTAAATATATGGAAGCGCTGATGTAGCAAAAAGGAGACAGTTTCCATCATGAGACCAGGCTGCAGCTGTTACACGGCCACCAGCAGTTGTCCAAGTTTCGCAGTCCCATTTTTCAGTAGACCATAGCCTAGAAAATTCCAATAAATTATATATATTTAAATAATTAAATATTAATTTCACATAAAATAATTTTATTAAAAGTTTATAAAACCATAAACTGACTAGTTGACTACGGACTTTAATGAATTGTTAAGCAGATAAATAAAATGAATCACATTATATTAACTTTATAAAAGTGAATAGTGAATACTGTAGGGGTGTTGTAAACAGTCATATTAATATACTGCATAGAATTTATTTGGTTACCTCTTCTTCAAGACTAAAAGAACAAGGTACAAATAATTAATGTTAATTGGTACAAAGTACAAAAGTAAAATAAGATATAATTTAGAGTCAAATTACAAAAAAATACCAGATACCAGGAACACATCTATTGAAGGAATGAAAACTGCTAAGTAGCATACAAAATGAGCATAACCAGAGTAAAATAAGAGACAACATTAGAGGAAATTCTAACAGTAAAAGATGAAACATAAGTGAATTGAAGTGAACTTTAGAATAGATATACAATATATAATGTATTCTGGCTGACTTTTTTATATTATACATTATTAGTGTTAAATACATTAGTGTTATTCTTATAGAAATGAAATAAATCATGAGGGAATTTTTTTCAAAATACTTTTATAGGATTTAATTTTTTCAGTAAATATTTGAAAATATGCCAAAAAAGATATGCATGAAATGAAGATGGCTTAAACAATTCCAAAGCGGCATCTGATAATTAAATCTATTGCACTAAAATATGGATACTTTTCAAACATATCTAGTTAACTGTATTGACTTTTTTTCATTATGATTGTTAAATCAAAAAATGAAATAAGCTGAAAGGTACAGTTCCAACCAATACCCAAGTTTTTCTTTGGAAGAGGACATTTAAAACAAATAGATGCCTCATCACTCTAATGAGGATGACTTAACAGACATTACCAAAACAAAAAAAAAAATTTAATTATGAACTTTAAAAAAGTTTAATCATTATAAATCAGCAATCCAAATTTAAAGACTTTTATGTCCAGAAGCTACAGAAGGAGTACAGGTTTTTTTTATGCCAACATCTAAATATCTCCAGAAGAATTCATGTAGCAATATCATTAGCAACAAGCTTTCGTGTATTTTAAAAAGATATTTGTGATTGATTTAGGCCAAGTACACAAGCAATTTAATGGAAGAAAATGCTTTTGATGTTTTGTCTAATCTATTATACACCACTTCTCTTAATTTTTGTTTAAATTACTTTATCTTTACTTGCTTATTAAAAGTTACTGCAGAAATACCTAAAAAATAGTTATTTAGCTAAAACAAAAAATGTATGCTTGTTTTAGAAAACATTCATAAATTTGGCTATTTCAAAAGCTCTGCAGTCGTGTTACTGTTGATTAGAAAAATACATTTCCCACAAATATGTTAGCAAATTGTGAGCTTTATGTTTAAAATTGAATTTGAAATTTTTTGAGCAACTACAATTATTTAGAAATAGAACCTAGACCAAAAAAAGTTCAAAATTTCTGTTTTTTTAGGTACTAAAACAAAAGCACAAGTCTTAATATAGAAAATTTGGATTTTTTAAATTCACTAAAAATATAACAATATAAATAAATAAAAATTACATAAATAAGCATTATTAATTTGAATAGATTATATTGACAGCTACATTGCAAAAGCCTATAAGAACAAAACTAAAAATTTTCAGGAAATGAAAAAACTGCATAATTTTTATTCTATGAGCATTATATTTTCTGATCACACTGATTATTCACTTTTTTGTCTCCCACTGTAGGAGCGGCTCGAACAGAGTGCATGCGCTTCATTTTGAAGTAGTCTATGAAAAGTTTCATTTTGAACGTACTCAACTTCATTTGATTCACTAATGCTTGGTAAGTTCTAGGTAACCTGCTGATGTGTAGATCACTTCGTTTCTGAGCTTCTTGCGATTTCAAAGATCCATTGGTTTGAAAAGATAAAACTAGAGTTCTTTTTTCGTTTCGTGTTAAATTCTCCAATTGATGAAATCAATTCTCTGTCTCTCACTATCTGGAATTCGGCAGCATTGTAGATTTTTTTCCAATCAAGCTCATTTTGCAGTTTCAAAGCATATGAGAAAAAATAATTTTAGCCTACTAATAAAGCTAATTGATACTGTAGTCTATGAGCAAACCACTTTACACATCCTATATTTACATGATCACCTTTCATTGAGCATTTTATTACGTTTTTCCATAACGACATAATCTCTATATCCTTTACTGTAGCATACATTTTTTTACATCATAATTTGCTGGTTTTTAAATCACAGGTTTCTACAAAAGGCTGTAGAGAAGAAATGAAACATCATGGATTTCATTTTGTGGGATAAGATTATGGACCAGGACAAGATTGACCAGAAAATCTCAAAACCTCATTTTCCAAAGAAATTATATTTACAGGCTTTTGCAGTGTGGCTGTTGATATGCTAATCAAACTTTTATTTATAGTTACCTAAATGTTTTTGAAAGAGTCGCAGCCATAAGTTTAGAAAGTGAAGGATTCCAAAGTAAAAAAGAAGCTCCACCAGCACAAGGGACGGCAATCCTCTCTTTGGTATCCACATGCCATACAACTATACTCTTATCCATACCATTACAACTGACTAAAATATCTCCCTATAAAATGTGAAAAAATAGTTAATGGTTAAGATTTTGATTTCCATTATTAAGAAAATATTACTAATCTAGTGTCGTAAGAGGAAACTAACTTCTGTGAAAGGTTAAGGAGCTAACCTGCGTGGACATGTGATTGTTAGCATTGAAATGTATAACATGTTGTGTATCATTATTAATAAGGTCCCGCTAGTTACCAAAGGCACCTGGGGTGTCGCTCTAATAATTTTGTTTGTACTTTTCCTTTTTTATTTTTCTTCATTGTGGCACTCTGTTTTGCTATCAATGGAATCTAATTCATTAATTTCTTGCAGTGATTCACTTCTATGAGTGAGCTCTTTCCTGTATTTTACAGAAAATGAATCAAAAATATTTAGTAAAACAAATGATGTGCACTAATGCATGATTAATGAATTGAATGTTGGAAAAAGTTTTTATGTATTTTTATTGATAATGATTATTATGGCACCTAATATTATTCTGCTTATATAGGCAACTGTAGATAAAATGCTTACTTCAATTAAAATTATCATTTTTTTAATTTTTTTTAATTTGTGATATTCACAACTGTATTAAGAAACAATACATTAAGTAAATGTGATAACAGAAAATGAAAACACCTGTCAAGAAACTACCCACTGGTAGCACTCTAAAAGAAATGTATTTACAATAGGAGATCTCGAGGCCATCTTCTTTTCAGATGCCTCGGAGGGTTATCCAGGGATCGAATAGGAAGCAAGTTAGAAACGAGAGGGTTCGGATGGTTCTAAAGTTTATTATGGAAGGATAGATATCTGAATTGGGCCAATTCGGAAACATAAGGAACCTTACGGTCTTTCGTTGGATGATTTTATTAGTGACAAAGTAAGGAGCATTGAGGATTTTTGATTGTAAGGATTGGATGCATGAGAAATTGATGGCTTTATGGACTCCCAAATCTCAACTCTGTATGTCCAGATAGGTCTTATTGTAGTCATGTGTACGAGACTTTTGTAATTATTGTCTCAGTTTTGTAATTAACTGTAAGCTTAGAGCGTTTGTCTAGTAAGTGCTGAAATTGTCAGAAATGTCGAGTGGCTTCTTGTCGTTTAAGTCTGGTATGAGAATTCTAAGTTAGACGTTTGTCCAAGTGGAGTCCAAGGTACTGGATTTGTTCAACAGGGATCAGTGGGATATTATTAAAGGATACTGTAGGACAGGAAGTCATAGGTTTATGACGAAGGATAAAGGTATGAATTTATAGTACGGGATTTTTTGGAATTTATTTTAATACTCCAATTTTGACATCATTCTTCGAGGTTTGTGATGTGTGATTGGAGAGTTTGGTGTGCAATTATTGGATCATTATTAACTGATAGGACACATGTGTCATCGGCAATCGAATAAAAGCATATTTAATTTGAAAAAACAAATAATACAACAAAGTTTTTAAAAATCATTTAGATTAACTGGCAGCTTAACACTTTGTAAGTAATAATATCATTTAATAAAACATAAGTGCAAATCAAAGTATCAATTTAAAAATAGGCAATATTTTTATAGTAGGAGAATTCAAAGTGAAAAAGGGACATTTTATCATAATTAAATTCAAGCATAAACAAAGAATTATGTATAAAAAGATATCTATAAGGTTAATGGAACAAAATAAGAAACTAAGATTTAAACATATAGTATCCATGTAAAATTTAACTCAGACATTAATGATCTGCCTTCATCTCTGGCCCAGAAAAAAATATATAATCTCTGAAAGTTCTTTAAAGAAATTTAAGTCAGTTTTTTAAAACCATAAAATATTTACTTACCTGAGGACTCCAAGCAATAGATGTGACATAGGAATGACGAAGAACAACAGCAGTAGAAGATGAAGGTCTGGCCACAAAAGAATTAGGGTCAACATTCCACAAAGCAATGCCATCTGCACAACCAACAGCCAATTCTCCAGCAGTGAGAGGTCTAAGAAATAAGGTACCAATAGTCAAAATCGTCATAGACTTCTAACTCCATTAATAAAATAAAAATTAGTTTTTCCTCAATGCTAACCTCCAAGCAATATCAGTGATCCTTCGTTGAGCTTTAGATTTGAGTACAGGAGTGATACGAGTTTGGACTGAAAAAATACTGACTGAGTCATCTGTGGTGCCAATGGCAAGTTTGGTGTTGCTAGGATGCCATGACATGCATATCACAGGGCCTACTCTGGCCTCATCCCCTCTGAAATATCTCTGGATTTAAAACATAGTAGACAGGAATCAGCAATTAAGAGAATGTGATTTTTTTTTTTTATTTTTATAAAATAAAAGAAATACAGAATAAAAACAAAAACCCACCATTATATAATTTATAAAAAGATTGCTAATTCAATTACATACATCAAAAACTTCTATCACTATATTGAATTTCAAAATTGGCAACTAATTTTCAATCAGTGACTTATATTCACAGTATCTTTAATCATCTAATAAATTATTTATACATATCCACTGTTTTTCAATGACACTAGATACCCTATCACACCAAATTTCTAAAATACTGTTCATAAAATTAGACATCATAAACTTTCCCATAAAAATATTTCAATATTGAACATATTTTTGGAAAAGGGAAAAGGAGTATCGGATTTGACAAAGAATGCTTTATTTACACACTTATAAAATACAATACCTATTCATAAGTTACTTTCATTAAGTTGCAAATTATTGCAGGATATTTTAAGAAGTAGAAACAATGACAACATTTCAAAAATATCTTCAATCAGATTTATGCAATGAGACTTTTTCTGGGAAAAATCGAATATTCTAAACCATTTCACCATCCTTTCATTTCATTAGAAAGGCTACTTTCCCTTCATCCACACAATAATCGGTACACTAACTGCATCTAAAGTAATTCGTTCCAGAAATTTACAATATGTGAACTGAAAATGAATCAGCACATGCCAATTCATTTGATTGACTTAACAAAAAAATTATCCTCCTAAATTTCCCTCAAACAGCTTTCTATTTGAACTATTTTTGGATAAGCCTTATGAATTAAATCTTCAATAATCATTCTGATAATTTATTTATTAATTCAACTAATATATGGAATATTATATTGCCATACTGAAATCATCAATGAAAAATTTTTTTGACACACGAGCAGCATTTATGTTGGTTCTCAATTTTTTTTATAAACTGCAACCATATTTTTTTGCTAACTGCAAACATGGTTAAAATTGCTAATGCTCTAGTATGACGAGTAAGAAGTATTAGTAGAATCAATTTTTCCACGACTGCTTCATAATTGTCCACTCACCCTTGATTTGTAATCATTTTTAAATTAAAGTCTAGGATTGTTAAGTGCCAGACTCACAAGTATTGAAATTCGTCAGGAAAACATATGGTATAAACCCGGCTCTGGGAATGAATGGTGGTCTTTTCTGTTTAAAACAGTGCGTTCTTTTAGGATCTGAGATCAATTTCTCATTAATTAGATGAGATTTACATGTTGAAACAATAGTGGGTGGGGTGACTGAGCGGGCTAATGCGTGTGTAAAACATTCGTTGCCTGACAACCAAACACATGATAAACCGAAGTTACTAGATATAAAATAATTACGAGGTCGCGTCCCAGTGCCGAGGGGAGGGCTTTTAACTGGGCATTAAATTTCCTACCATCTCACCTGGCCTGGGAAAATCATCAAACAGCAAAAAAGGTGAGGATGGGGTGGAAAAAAAAAGGTTGATACAAAAAATTAATACTTATAATACTTTTAAATACTAATAATCTTATAAAAAAATAAAAACACAAAAGAAATAAAAAAATATTTACCTCTTCAGAAGGAGAAAAAAACTTTTCTTTCAGTTGTTTCCCAATATTACAAGCAAAAAGTATGTTACTAGCTAATCTTTGAAAAAGTGAGGGAGGTTGTCCATCTGTTTGACTTAAAACTTCCAAAACCCGTATGATTCCACATTCATACCTAAAAGGAGATTAATAAATATTCACTTTATCTAGGTAATACTTATCAGCTCTCTGTATTCATAAATAAATATTCATCAAATAATTTATCCACAAGTGACCATTTTAAAGATAAAAAAGGGATTGAAGTTGCTCCTATTTTTCTCTAGAAGGATGATTTGCTTGATTAAATTACATTATCTTATTCTTAAGGAATTATTTAATTTCTGTAACCTGAGGGACCTTAGCTTTACAATTTTGGTTTAAGACACTTAGGGCTTTATAGAGGCTGAGCATGCCCAACCACCAATTTGTTTTTGCTAATACTGACATATACTTTTCTATGAAAGAGACATACCGTTATTTAAGAACTTATAGTTATAAGTTTTGTAGATATTTATTGTGCCCATCCACTAGATAGATTGATTTATTTGTAATGGACATAAGGCGAAGAAAATGTGAGTTATAAACACTCTGCTTTTAAGAAACCATTAAATCTCTCTATTAAGAGTAAATGTAAGTCTTAACTCCATTATAACAAAATTATGGCATAAGAAAAACAAAATAAGGGGGAAAGCAATGACATTGTGGTCAACTGGAGAATGAAATGCCTTTCTATAATATTTTAAAAGGGATAAATCTGAAATATTATTTAATTTATCATTGTCTACGACTATATGTTTCTGAATAAATAATTTGAAAACACCTTCACTTTTACTCAATAAAAAATCAACAGAATTTTTTTGTAATTTTCTTAATATATATTTCCAATATAATTTAATAAAAATATTAATGGAGTTTCCTTCTCTTTGATAAGTATGAATTGATTTCTAATTATTTCTAGGAAAACTCCCCTAAATTTAGCAAAGCGGCTTTTAATAGACATAGCATACATTCATTCTTAGAAGAAAATATCAAGTTTCCATTATTAAGATCTATGAAAATAAAAATAAAGATAAAACATTTACCAAGCATCTTGAAGACGCTGAAGCATAGAATCTGGTGTTGGAAGGAAAACTTTTCCTTCATAAGATTTTCGCAATGATGGTTGTAATACATCTCGGGAAATAACAACATTAGGGTGGTCAGAAACCTAAATATGCAAGAACCAATCAATTTTGTTCTAATACAATGGTTTGAAACAAAATAAATAAATAAAATAACTTCTTACAGAAGAGGTATACACATGTAGATTTAAAAATTCTGGAGATGAATAGTGCAAGTCACCATCTATTTTACATAAAGGGATTTGACCATCAGCAGGTCCAGGTGGGAAATCAGATAACTCACACACCATCTTACAAGAAATATTGACCAAAATACTACGGAATAATAAAAATAAATGCGTTTTTAACTACGATTAACAATGATGGTTAATCATCCGATGTATTAAAAATGATAGCATTCTATTTCACCCAATATCTACAAGAACTTCTATTAGAAACCTTTGACTAAGACCGCCAAAGTTATGAATCGATTGATAACATTATCAGGAATCTCTCAGAATTAGATAATCGAGTATTAAGTACAACTGAGTAACATAATATTTAGTTACCATCCCAAAAATAATAGAATCAAATCTGAAAATTAGACCTGAAGGGTGTAATAAGGCTCAATGGACACACATCAGAACCTTTCCACTTTTATAAAGAAGTAAAGCAAGGGAATAGTCTTAGTTTTCTGCTTCATCCTTCTCATAGATGAAATTTGGAAAGTGTGTAAAAGAAGAACCCCAAGGGCTTCTGTGGGATATTGGATTTTGACACCAGTGTTGGCTCAAGCTATGTTGTATGCCGACGATATAATCCTTATAGCGGACTCACAAAAGGCTCTACAGACATCATTAGTCGAGTGGAAAGAAGAATTGAAGCTATGAGGGCTGCATATAAACCCGTCTAAGAGCAAGGTTGTGTGCATTAAAAAAGATAATACGGAGCCTATGATGTTAAGTAAGGGCAAACTCCTAGAGGTAACAAATGTATACACGTATCTAGGGACAATCATCAATGAAGATTACAAAATAGACCAGAAGGTACTAAATCGGATGATGAAGGCCAATGGAATATATTACCTGATAGCCAAAATAATCATAGGCAAACGGGAAGTAAGCAGAAAGCTTAAACTCACGACATATAAGGCGGTGTTACTCCAAGTGCTTCTGTATAGATCTGAAAGCTGGATAGCCCTCGATAAGCACATAGGCAGGATCGCAGCAGCGGAAATGAAATTCCTCGGAACAATAGCTGGCAAAACTAAGAGGGACTGTGTCAGAAATGAAAGAATTCGCGGGGAATTGGACGTGACATCAATCTGTGGCATCCTGGAAGAGAGAGAAAGAAGCAGTTGAAATGGTACGGGAACATCTGCAGAATGGACGACACCCGAAAGGTCAGGTGGTTTATGGAAGCTAGACCGGAAGCAGAAGACCTTAGGGCAGGCCTAGACATATGTAGCATGATTACATTGGAAAACTGGGCACAGCAAGAGGATGCACCATATCGGAGATGAGAAGACTAGCCAGAGACAAAGATCAGTGGGCAAGATGGGCTGGAACTGCAGCTCCACGCTTAACGACACAAAGGAGCTAGAGACAGAAGAAGAAGTCAGCAAATAGGAGAAACTGTTCAACTACAGGAAGCAAGTTACAATGGCCTGTGTGCATTCGTGCTGTGTGCCTTTTTCAGACGGAGGAGATCTCATCCATATAGACAATAAAGAGAAGGTGGCTTAAGGAGTCACCTTGTTTCACTTCTTTTTCGAGACTACTGACTCTAAAAACTTCTGACTCTTTTCCATTCAGGCATACAACACCTTTCGGCTCTTGATAAGTCGATTTTATAGCCTTTAAAAGCTTTATTGGGAAAATTTTCGCTTTCAAGGATTCCTCAAAGTAAAGATGTGATCATTTGTTTCCCTCTCGGGCCTAAAAGCACTCTACTAGGAGGTCAGGAGCCACCATTGGTCTTAATCGGTTCTCAAGGATGGATGTATATAGTTTATAAAGGAGTAGGGACAGGCAGATAGGTCTGTAATTAGAGTAAGCGCTTTGACTTCTTTTCATGTGTATGGGTATTATAACGTTGAGCTCCCATTTCTTAGGAATTCTATCATTGTCCCAAACTCTTTGGAAGAAATTTTGAAGAGCTCCTACTCTAACTCTGGTTCACCATATTTAATAAATTCTGAGACTATGTTGTCTCGTCCTGCTGCAGCAGCAGGATTGCGGAGCACTGCTTCTTTCTCTGTCTTCATCTCCACAATAGCCTTATCAATCTCCTTTTATTCTATCGGTTCTTTCCTTGATCCTTCGGAAAGATTCTTCTTTCAACAAGGACATTGCTTGCTTCCTGATTGCCCTTAAACTGTCGTGAGTAATACCTACGCCATACCTCCAGTCTTTACTTTATTTATTATAATATATTAATTTTATTAAATTATTAAATAATTTTAATTTATAATAATTTTTTATTATAATTTAATAAATCGAAAGGTGAAACGAAAGATTATAATTTTTCCAGTGAGGCTAGAATTTGGAGACTCGTTGAACGGCATCAATGTGCTCAGTGCTTAGTTTTGGAACTTACCTATATCTCTATGTTTAGAGATTTATTTAGAGAAGGTTACTAGTGATTCTTGTAGGTTACATGCTTAGCACGTGTGTTGTGCATTGTGTATATTGTAAGTAAGCAGCAGATCATTTAAAGAAATGGCTGGACCCAGAAAGAAGAAGGTACATTATTTTTGTTTTTTTACTACAATATAGTTATAAACAACATATATACTAATATCTTTCTATATCTTTAGTATACCTCTGGAGAAGGAAATCAATACTGGACCAGAGCTACTGCTTTGAGGAAACTCCAGTTATCATTAAAAGATTTTCGCCGACTATGTATTTTGAAAGGCATATATCCAAGAGAGCCTAAAAACAGGAAAAAAGCCCAGAAGGGTGCTACTGGAATAAAAACATTGTACAACAAAAAGGATATTCAATTTTTGATGCATGAACCTATTATTTGGAAATTCCGTGAAATGAAAGTAAGTACGGTTGAAGCCCTATATTCTTAGTTGTTCTAGGTATAAGTATCTTATATTACATAATATTATGGTAGAATCTATTCACAAATATAATTTTTTATGATCAGTCCTACAGAAAGTTGACAGATAGATGCAGCCTATTGTGGACCATTTTTAATATTCACTATCAAGATGTGTAATTTCTATAATTCATTTTTGATTTTTTATGGTCTTCAATTCAACATGTCCTCTGGAATTAAATAATCGCTTTATGTTCCCAATTTAAATCAAGCTTGATGATTAATAAATTGGTCATATTAAACAAATGATAAAAGAGAAGTTTCCTCTGTTATGCTGATGTTCAAATGTGAATATAACATGTCTCAAACATTAGATCTCCCATTATTATACTTTCTTCACTGCATTTTATTACTTAGGATGATGAGATTAATATAAAGACCCTGCTGCACATATCTATTAATTGTTCTATGATCAGATATTCCTTTCTGTGCAGACTAACATATATCACAGGTAGTATTCTGTCATCAGACTAGACTGGCCATCTTGTAGTTCACTTTCTATCTGATCATAATGTATCATCTGTTTCTATTGCAAATTCCAGATTCTTTTTGACTGAGTCTTTGTTCTTAATTGTGTTATCAGCAATCAGAGTTCTTTAAATATTATGGTTTGTTTTACTCTGTTGATTTATTTCCTATTGTGATTCAGTAATATTTATGATTTATTAGGTACAAGGAAGAAAAATTGGGCGTGCCAAAGCTATGAATGAAAATGGTTTGGCTCGAAGACTGATGAATAAGCATGTGATCATTAATCTTGATCATATTGTTAAAGAAAGGTAAGTTATTTAATTGAAAATTTCTGTTCAAGTTTTAACTTGTATTTTTAGTACCTATTATTTTATTGTGTCACATTTTTCTTCTCATCTTTGTGCCATATCTAGAGTAGAGAGGGTTAAAATACAACATAGCTGCTGTCTTAAGGATATGGCACCTTTTGGGTTGGGCCGATCACTCACGCAAGGAAACACTGATTCGAAGAAATATTATTGACTTTGGAAATAAGCAGTCCTTATTATTTGAGTGGCCTTATATCAAAGAAGCCCATCTGTCATTTTTAGAAAGTGGAGAAAAAGTCAATTTTCGTTTTATAGATTCAACTCAAACTGTTTCTAATGGTTTGATTTAAAAATGTTTAAGTTGAATCTCATTATAATAAATCATTAGAATTTGTTTGAATTGATGCTATCTTTCATAAATTGCCTTTTTATCAAATGTTTAATAATGACAGATGTCCGTCTTTGATATGAGGCCACTCATTTGATCTGTTTGAAAATGGAAACTAACATTAATAGTTTATTTAAATAACTATTAAATTAAGTTTATAATATATCATTATATAGGCCTTTAATGAAAATTATTTTAATATTTTAGGTATCCTACATATTTGGATGCATTGAGAGATCTGGATGATTGCCTGACTCTTTGCACTTTATTTTCAACATTCCCATCTATCAAGCACATACCCCGAGATCAAAGTTCCTTGTGTCGACGATTAGTTTTAGAGTTTATGCAAGCTATCATTACTTCAAGAGCTCTTAGGAAGGTTTTTATTTCAATCAAAGGCTATTATTTTCAAGCAGAAATAAAAGGAGTAACCATAACATGGATCATGCCTCATCAGTTTAGTTTTGAGGTAGAGTATAATACTATTTTATTTTTTATCCATCTGCTCAAGAGGTGCATAAGGCCTCCTTGACCTCTTCCAGTGCCTTTTCCCATTTATTTAGGTAAGGTAACTTGCCTGAATGATATCCTATCATTCTAAGATCCTCAGCTTTATACCTTTCCTTCCATCTGATTCAATGTTTGACTCCATTCTTAATTTAACCAATACAGGAGGAGACTGGTTTAAATCCAATAAAATAATTTATGGCCAATTAGAAAATCTAGAAATAGAAATATTAAAAAAAATACAAAAGATTTATGAACTGATGAGAATGATTCCTAAAATCAACAAATAATTTTTTGAGCATGAAATAGGAGGTTACACTAAATAATTAAAAAAAAAAAACAATGCAAAACTTAAAATTAATAATGGAGACTGCTTAAGTAGTGAATAATTTAGAAAATATATCAAGAAAATTAGGTTCTTGTGAGAGATTAAAAAACAAAAAAAAAAGAGCTCCAGGAATAAATGGACTTACGGCAAGAAAGTATTTCACTCTATAAAAATGGAATAAAAAGAATGAATAAAAGAGGAGAATGGATAAAAAGAAAGATATTTGTTACTGTTTGATGGTACGTTCATGCAAGTATTAGTATTAGAGATTTAGTAGATGCTAAAAACGAGTCTGAATTGTTTTTTGTTTTTTGTGACCAAAATACCAAAATTTACTTAGACTACTTTACTGGAAACATCTTTGTGTTTTTGTAATTTATTATACATTAAAATTCGTTTAATACAAATTAAAAATATGTTTTTCTTATTTTACACTAAGAAACAAATCAATTGGTTTATAATAACTTAAAAATGTGCTGAGCCAAGTCAGAAAACATTAATATAAAAAAATAATAACATTTTTCTCATCTCCGAGGGTGCATTAACAAGAACCCTCAGATATGGGTCAACAAATTTTTGACCTAGTATCACCCAAAATAACTTTTTTGAAATCGGTGAACCCACATCCGTAACCACCTCTTGTGAGAGCAGGCTAACTCAAATTATTCTCGAGAGCAATTGAATTGAAGCTCTTTTATAGTAAATCCTGTCATAATTGATAAAACACGATGGCTGCCTGATGCTTGGTATATTTTCGGTGACATCTTACAGCATCTGTTATTTGGACTGGAGTAATGTTTCATCTGTTTATTCTTTTAGAATTTATTATTATGAAGTTCTCTTAAAGTGTTAATTTGATATTAGTAAATGAACTTATTATTGGCTCCCTGACTTGACTGACAGAAGATGAAAGCTGTAGAGAATATCGATGATCAAGAGATTATGAACTAGTTAGGCTGAATACAGCAGCCAGCAGATGGTTGAGAAATCCAAGAGCAACTCTATATACAAGAGTACTTTTAGACCAAGGAAATCATTTAGAAAAATAGTCATATTTTTATTGTTTTTTAGATTGTGAGATTCCAGATTTTTAATTATTCATGGCTTTTCTTTTGATTGACTATTGATTTTAATATTTTTGAATTTTTAGAAATTTATAATTAATTACTAAGATGGAGATGAGTGCTAAAATATTAACAATTTCTTTCATATTTTGATTATTTGAGTGACATTCATGCTGCTGATTATTAATAACCTTGTTTTGTTTTAAAAAATCACAAAAATATGTCCAATGTGAATTTATAAAAATAGAATTCCTTTAATGTTTCTTTTTTTTTTTTTATTTCAGCCTCAAACAAGAGAAGAAGTTGATTTCCGCATAATGTCAACATTTGTGCAATTTTACATTGTTCTTTTGGGATTTGTTAATTTTCGCTTCTACAATTCATTAAATCTTTATTATCCTCCGAGAATATCCATTGCTTCAGGTATGATTTTATTGATGAATTGTCTTTTTGTTTATTCCTGTACATAATTAATTAATGTTTTCTTTATAGAGTTTTTTCTCTCTTTTTTTGAGAAGCCTCTATGCATGTCCAGTTAATTACAATTACAAATTTGCATAATCAAATAATAATATAAAAGAATGTAATTGAAACTGCAATATATAGTTTAATTATTAAAATGTTGTTCATTCTACTTATGAATAGAAATTAACTTTGTTTTTGTTTGAATGAAAACAGAAGATTTCATTATGAAAACATACACAAATTCAATGTGACATTATTGTTTTTTTTCTTTTTTAGTCCACTCTGTTTTTAATTTTTCATTTATTTTACTAATTCTCATTGAAATATTGTATCATCATTAGAGCTCTTTACGTTATTAAATATCAATTTTTAAAATTTTTTATAATTATTTTTTCTTTTTCCATTATGTATAAAATATCATATACATATTTCAAACATATTTTTGGGTTGATCCTGACTATTATCTATCATACAAGAACTTTTAAAACAGTTAACGAAAATTCATCTCTAAATTCTTCATTTGATTTTATTTCTTTATTTTTACGTACTTAATTTTAAAAATTTAGATAATTTGTAAGTTGGGCTAACAATTCCATTAACAATAGGTCTAAATTTTATTATTTTATTTATTTATTGTTACATTCCGCATCTACCCGATCGGGTCATTAGCTGCTAGGTCTAAATTTAATTTGTTGCTTAGGAAGTTTTCTAAAACCAAATAACCTGATGCTACTGATAGTTTTTAATATTAGTTTCTTTCTATTTTCTAAAATAATGTAATTAAATTTGAGCAATTTATTTTTATGAGTTTCTTTTTATGGGGGGATTTCTTTTATTAATAGATGACTTCTAAGTTTCAATAATTACTATCATCATTTTTAATTTGCACATATTCTTTAAATAAAAATATTATCCCTTATGGCGATTTTTTGGTTTTATCTGATTTAATAAAGATAGTATTAGGGTACCTTTTTTTTTGTATCAATATCAATCAATCTTTATTTGTTTTGAAGGAAGAATCCTGTACAAATGGAATCTATCTTATAATAACAAACATTATTATCCTTATGGAAATACAAATTCCTTTTTATACTTAACCCTCCAAGTCGTCTGATTAAAATATACATATATTTAATATAAATAATTAAAATATGCAGTCGTAAAAGGGAAATGGTTAGTGATGAAAAACTCATAGATTTAATATATTAGACAAGAAAAACATATAGTTATTAATTATATTAAATAATATGTTATGCCATCTATGATTTTTACTTTCAGTTCAATATAAATATTTGAATAGTAGTATTACTTTATTATGGGCGCTAATGACATGTTTTGTGCCTAAAACATCAAATGATGAAAATATCTATTTTTACTCAAAAGTAGGATTGTAAAGTAGTGTAAGTAGTGTGATGCACGCTCCACACTAAATTTTCTTTCAGTTGTTACTATTATTGAACTAGTTGCTTAAATTACTTAATTTTTTCATTGTTAATTTGATGCCTCTGAAGAATTAGTAATCAAAGGCTCTCCAATTTTATTATTCTTATCTGATTAATACATTATTTATTTCTATTGCATTATGGTTTGTATATATTGTTCTATTTTTAGATATGTGATTTAATAGTTTAACTTTCTTATATCAATTTATGTTCTGTTTAGATGAATCAGATGATTTAATCGATAAAGCTGGTCTGGAGTCAGAAAGAATCGCTGCATTGAATATTCCATTGTCTTGCACTTCGACAGATGTAAATACTGAAGAAGAACAAGATCCTGTAGAAAGTTTCAATATGGTAAATACTAGTTAATGATGTTTTTTATTATCTATTCAAATTTTCAGATCATGTTACATTTTATAATAATCTGGTTACATTTATAACACATAAATGTGTCATTTGGTTTTTTTTTCTAGGCTATGGATGAAAATGATAAAATGGAAAAAGCTTACTTGGAGGCTGAAAAAATTCGTAAATTAAAAAAATTGTTTGAAGGATTGAAATTTTTTTTAAATAGAGAAGTTCCAAGAGAACCTTTGGTTTTTATTCTTCGCTCATTTGGAGCTCTTGTGTCTTGGGACAAAACTCTTTTTGTTGGTTCTACTTTTGATGAAACAGACGAGACTATCACGCATCAAATTGTTGATAGACCAAGTTTATCTAAACAATATGTATCCAGGTTGGTAATAAACGTTAATATTTAAATAGTGCTTTTATGAGGAAATGATTTCATCATTTACTAGAAAGTTTATTATGTCTTTTGTTTTAGTTTATTATATTTTAATTAGCTTTAAATTTTTGTAAATGAAGTAATAATAGGTTTATCTTACATTTAATTTGTTTCAATTAATTAAAACTATTCTAGATATTATGTACAACCACAGTGGATATTTGATTCTGTCAATGCTAGAGAACTTTTGCCAGTAGAAAAATATTTCATTGGTGCGGTATTACCTCCTCACTTGTCACCATTTGTAGAAGAAAGGGATCAGTATTATTCCCCTCCTGAGGCAGTTGGTCTTGATACTACTGGAGAAGGTATAGTTAGTTGGTATTTAATTAACTTGATAATTATGAATTAAACATTTCATATCAATATCTATTTTTAAATTTTTTTATACAATTTACTCAAGTTATTTATTTTATAGTTTAACAATAATTAAGTGTTTAGTATTCAGGATTATCATTAGGGTTTAGTTCTTAATTATTAGGAAATTTAAATTCCAATAAAGCTATGTGCTAGAAAAATCTCTGCCATAAATTATTAAATTAAATTTACAAATTTAACTTAATAAATTATACTATCATTATTAATAATGTAATAAATTATGACATCTGATTTATAAGAATTAGCAATAATAAAACTAATGATTCTAGCCTAATTATTTAACTGACACCACATTAATTAGACACCACATATCTGCCTGGAAGTGAGGTACCTAGAATATTTATTCTGGGGCAAGATTGCTAATAAATCTTTCAAAGAAGAACATGAACATTATTATTGAATTAAAGTCGTTGATTTTTAATAGCTTCAGTAGCACCATTAAATATTGATATATTGTTCATAAAAACAGTGAGACAAAATCTTATTTCTTGGAATTATAAATCGAAAACTAGGAATAGAAAGAAAACAATTAAATAGCTAAAACGTAAAAGATTTTAAAAACTAGAAGTATTTCAATATTAAATGAATCACTAAACTCATAAAAAAATATTAACATTCATTAATAAAAAAAACTTATTACTAAGTCTTGAGAAAAATGAATTTAGTGCTCAAAATAAAAAATGAAGAAAATAAGAAGAGAAGAAAAGAATCTCTCTCTCTCTCTCTCTCTCTCTCTCTCTCTATATATATATATATATATATATATATATATATATATATATATATATATATATATGTATATATTTCTTTTTTTTTGGATGAGATCAATGATAAATCATTAAAATTTCTATAACATTTGATAACTTTCTTGATTTCTATTCTTCTTATTAGTTATTGAATTCTAGTTATTAGAATTGTATTGAGGTATTTCTATTTATCAGTATCATAAGCATATTTTTATTAAGTATTTGTAATATATGGAAAAAATATATTATTGCCTGTTACAATTTAAAATATTTGTTATATTATATTATAGACATTTCAGAAGTTTTTGTTTATTTAATTTTTTTTTCTACCATTAGTGATCAACGGTAAAAGTCAAGAAGATGGTAAAGACAATGAGTCTGTAGGATCATTATCTGATAATAATTCAGAAGAAGAAGATGAGAAAAATGATGATGAAAGGGATCAAATGTCGAATTCCTCCTCAGAGGATGAAAAAGAAACATCAAACAATAAAGGAAGCCCTATAAATTCAAATAAAGATATTAAGAAGAAAGCAAAAGCAATGGTAATTTTATTTATAATATTACAGTTATTTGACTATAAATTACATGACTAATTTATGAACTATTTAATGGTTTTATAATAATTAATATGTCAAATATCGAATTATGTTTATAAATTTAAAAACAATAATCAATGTCATCTACATTCAATGAAGGTAAGGCCTTTTTCTAAGTATTTTTTTTTTTTTTTTAGACTAAATTGAAAATGGTTATTTTCAGTGCCGGCATTATACAGAGCAATCCGGGCAATTTCCCAAAACTTGTTGAGAAATTAATATTTAAAAAAATTGCAAAACATATGATGATTAATTTCAGCCCATTAATAAAGCAATTGAATTAGAGCTGTATTCAATGAATCAGTTCAAATGTTATTTAATATAAAACAGCTTTTAATAAGTAATTTTAATTTTTTGAGAGAGATGACATCATTGTCTAGAAGGGGAGGGGAGGGTGAAATGTCAATATTGGATAGATTTAATAATAACAAAGGCCTCTGTAAACTGCCTCGAAGTTTTTAACTCGTAATTATCTAAAATAGGAAAAATAATTTAATGATTGCTTCAAATTTTTTTTTTTTGTAATTGGTTTTATCCAGCTTTATTATGATTATGTGATTTATGGGTTTTCATACTTTTGTTTTGCTTTTAGAAGAAAAAGATGGCAGTTGCTCCTGGTAAACTTGAGAAGCCAGATCCGAACCAAGTCTTTGAAGCTGAAAAACAAGAAAGGAAGTTGAGGGAAAGGATGGTTGAGAAGAAGCATCGCGCCTTATATAAGAGTATGATGAGAGGTAGGGCAGAGAGAATAAGGGATAAAAATGTCCTTAAGAAAAAACGATTGCTCATTGAAAAAACAAAAAGTGGTATAAAAGCTACTTCATAGGCATGTTAATAGAATTTTATGATTTTCTTATGAATCTATCTATAATGTAAAGTTTTATATTTATATGTTTTCATATGAAATGAGTAAACGTGTATATAATTGTACAGTTGTTTTAATAATAAACCAATTTTTATTATTACTGTGGCCAAATTTATTAAATCATGTAGCCTTTGCATCTTATGAATGTTTGTAACCATTTCTACTTATAAAATAGTTCTCAAAATGAACTCATAGTGGTATAACTGAAACTTATTTAAGAGAAGTTATTTAGGGGAAGAGGAGAAGGTGAAGGGAGGAAGATACAGTCAAAAGTCACAAAATGTATGAAGGAACTATGTTTATTGGTTGTCTGAGTTTTGACCTACATTGTAGGTCTTCATCAGGGCTGTCCAGAATGTCATTTGATTAGCCAATCTTGTTTGTCTTGCCATTCAGGAGTAAATAGAGAAGTAAACGTAGCACATGGTGCTTATTGTGACACTTAAACTAAAAAGTTCGGGAATATAGTATTGAATTTTCGTTTTCTCAGAAGATGTTAATTTATGTCTTCCATTTATTTCTTTTTAAAGAAGTTAGTACCTATATAGATTTTTTAATTTAATATAATCATATAATAAATAATTTATTGATAAAACTATAGATAAAACCATTATATATAAATCCAGTAGTCACCTATGGAAGCGTAACATGGGTCTTGATGGAGGATATGGGTACCTGTCTGCTCTCGAGGAGATTGGAGATTAAAAAAAAACAATGAATTGTGAGCATTATATGACCAGCCTGGTATAGTGGCCATATAAAATAGGAATGATTGAGGTGGCTTGGTCCTGTAAAGCATATGGGGGTGATCACCTCCCAAAGCAATTAATGAATGGAGCCACAAGGTGCCCAAAGAGATGTGGATGTACACTTCTTTGGGTACCTTGTGGTCCCTAGGAGGAGAGAGTTGGACATTGAGGCAGAACTATGGCAGTTGGGAGTTAGAAGATATAAGCTGTTACTGCCTGACAGACCAGCCTGGCAGGCTATCTGTGAGTTGTCACATGCCCTTAGAGTGCAGTAGTGCCAAAAATAATAGTAATAATAATTGATAAAACAATCTAATTAAAATATTTCTAATGTAACTTATATAAAAAAAAATAGAGTGCCTAGAGTAGAGTAAGGAAAATAAAAAGGTTAAAACATTTAAATATATCTACTTATGATTTTCTTTAATTATCTAAAATTATTATATTTTTACTTACCTGGCAAGTGCATCAGTACCTTGATGTATAATATTTTTATACAAATGATTTATTGGAGAAATAATGTTTATTTATGATAAAATACACTATGAACATTGAAATGTACATTGTATAAATTTGTGAACAGCTGATATTTTTTGTTAGTTATTAATTTTTTTTCTAAATCTTTAAGACAAAAAAGGTAGAATATTTGAACATGCCATTTTATGGATATACATTACAGATAAGATGCAGAAACATTGTATTGCCTTGCTGACATATCAAGTGCTACATTATACACATGAGAAATATCTGGTCTATCTTCTTGGTTTGGTTGAAGACATTCATCAATTAGCCGTCGCATCTGTAAAATATTCACATATTTAATATTACCAATAAATTCTTGCATAAAGGACATACCAGGTCGTTAATCTATGAACATTTTAAGTGTTCATACTTCATGTGTCATTAAAAACATAAGTGTATGTTGGATGTCTTACTGTTTCAAAAATTTGTATCTATCCAGTTCATTGAGGAGAACTAGAAGTCCTCCTGGTCTATATAAGGTTAGCCTTTAGGAGGGTGTTTAAATGTAGGAAAATTCTCTATGACTAGGTGAGGGAAAAATCAGGAGTGACAGGGTGATGTGTCATTGCTGCTTTCTTTTTTACCTCTTGGGTTTCTTTTTTGTTGTTCTCTCTTTGCTTTTTTTTTTCATGTGACTACCCAAGTCATTATTCTCCAAGCTGAAAGGTCTATCATCAATGTAAAATTTAATATTAGGAAATACAAAGGTTCAAATTATTTTCATGATTAGAATGTCTACATCATAAAAAAATTACAATTTCACAAAAAAAAATTACTGACGAGGTCTTGAAAGTATAGGATCAGTGGGCGGGGTGGCCGAACAGACTAATGTGGCTAACAGCAACGCCGTTGCCCGGCAACCTGATCTATGAAACAATGGATTTAAATTAGTCCCGAGTTCGCGTCCCCGTGCCGGGGGTCTATTAAAAAGAGACCGGAAAGACCCGTGAAAACCCTGTATAGCCTTAAAAGGCGAGGAAGGGGAGGAGACAAAAAAAAAAGTAGAGGATCTCAAGAGATGAAATAAGGAAGAATATTGATTCTTGGGAAGTGTTGAAAATTAGAGGATGGAAGAACAAAGGATGATTAAGGATGAACAGACCATTGGAACTGTATGGACTGTAAATCCCCTCACTATTTGTGAATTGCAGAATTAATTCATTTGATTTTACTGTAGTGACTATTATTGGCTAAGTATGCCACCTATATTTAAAATAATGTCAAGGAGCTCAATGTCAAAGAATAATTAAATTAAAATTTATCTACGAAAGACAAATAGTATGGTAGAAGTTGATTGGGGATGCGGTCAGAGATGAAATTATTCACAACTAGTGATTGATTTAAACACATTTATTTTATATTATGCTGAAGTTTTGGCCTAAATTTTAGGCTTTCATCAGGGATCTCATTTTAGACTCTTGTTTTGAAGATTTCAGAAGACAAGCCAAAATTGCCACACATTGAAATAAGCCTTCTTATTTGTGTGTAATGTTATCTCTGACTGCACTCCCGACTAACTTCTACTGATTTAATCTAAGGTCAATAATATCTCCAGTATGATAAATTATACAAATCTTCACAAGTAAATTATCTTGCTAAGTGCCAAAATGCTCGAGAGTTAGGTCTATAGCTTTAGATGTAATTAAAGATTAAGGAAATCTATTTATAACATATTCTAAGCAACAATTTTTTTTTTATACTTTAATAATTTATAGTAATATAACTTTTTTTATTTCTTATAAAAAATTATTTAGTGATGCCTTTGACATTCTGATTATTCTGTGACAATATCATATATGATAAAATTGTTTGGTACAATTTAAAATATTCATTGCTGTTAGTCTTACTTTTTCTGAAAATATTGGCGATGGCAAAGGAGGGTAGTCACCTCTCTCTATTTTCTTTGTGAGGGAATATAAATTTAGTCGGTGCTCATAAAACGGTGACTGCAGTGCTGCCATCTGAAAAGTTTGCATTGGTTTATGAATTTAAGTAAATTTAATACAATATTATATATTTAAGTACTACTATAATACTATGTTGTGTACCTATGAACAGAAATGTGCATAATGTATGTAAATAGTCGCCTAACCATTAGGCTATTTTTAATCAATTTTAACTCTGAAAATAATAAATTAATATAACAGTTTTTTTTAAATTTTATTATTATTTTTTTCCTATGCGGAAGTCATTGGTCATTCGACCATATGACATCTTGCTGCCCAGTATAAGTTTGATTTTTTTGATATATTCATTTCCAAATGTTTTATTTATTATATCCGTCCAAGCAGGACATGTATCTATGTGGTCTGCATCCATTTTTGCTTGATCACATAATTTACATATAGGATCCTCAACCATGCCTATCTTGTGGAGATGATTTTGTAGATAGTCGTGACCAGTGGCTAGGCGGAAGCAGAGTACTGCATCTCTTCTTGGTAGGTCAGCTAGGATCGGGTTACAAACATTACATCAAACATTGATAATGTTTCCCTTTCACCTTGTCTCTGTGGATTTTTTTTATTTCCTCCTTCATTACCATCCTCACCATTCGCCAAATTGAATCGTAAGATTTTGGATGGACTGGTTGAGGCAATTCTGCTCTTCTTTTGGCGAGACTATCTACTTCCTCATTTCCTGGAATCCCCCAAAGGCTCAGAATCCACTTTAGGACCACATTGGTGCCTCGGAGTGTTAGGTCATAGAGGAGAGATTTGCACGACAAGATAGCACTCAATAGACATTCATTCACGTCAGTAATTGTGAGAATTGTTGCTTGGGAGTCGACAAAGAGAACAGCGCTCTGAACTTACCTTCCTGATAGTGTTCTAAGGGCTATGAGAATCGCTGCTATCTCACCATCGAAATTTGTACCATCCTCACAAGCCGCAGTACTGAACTGAAACTCCGTAAACTAAACCCCTGCCCCAGCATTTTTGACGACTGATTCAGCTGATCCATCGGTATAAATGTGAAGCCAATCCTGAGAAAGGGTACTTTCTAAGGGAGCTATAGTTTCTAGTGCTATTGCTTTTAGTATGGTTTCTGTTTTATCCACCATATGGAGAAATTGCAGCTCTACCTTGCTTGTGTGATTGTGGATTGGAACTATGCCTGTATAAATGGGCCCTTTTCTTCACAGTCATGCCCTCTTCAAGCAAAGCCTTCGCCTTTAGCATAAATGATTCTTGTGTCTTATGCCGTTGAGTTGGGATTTTGGGGTCCATTTTTCTCATCTGCTCGTGAAGACACATTGCAGCTTGTTCACGTCGTTTCGAAAGGGGTTCTGCTGTGGTCTATAGTTCCATAGGTGCAACAGGAGTTGAGCGCAGTGCAGATTGTACAGGTCCAGCCATTGCATCTTACTTAACAAGGAGTAACACTCTCAGTGAAAGAAGCATGAGCCCAATAGGCCACATAGCTCCAGAGCATGAAGAGTTCACTCAATCCCAATGTAATGCAAGTCAAATAAGTGGCTTCATATCAAAAACGTACATGAAAACGTTAAGATAACACCATTTATTTTGTAGGTAAACTGTTATTGATAATTTTATTTGTTAATTTAGCTTGTTTTATGTTTTCTGTATATATGGTGTGAATTGAGTTCATATTATAACTCACCATAATTATTGTCCACGTAACATATTATTATATTTCTAATAAAAAAAAATTAAAAAAAATTTTTAAAGTCTTAAATAAAATAATCAGAAACCGTTTGTTGAACCTATATAACAAAAATTGCCTTTTTCTTAACGTTTTTAAAGTGACAGGTGCCAGTCTTTGATATGAAACCACTCAAATAACATAAAATATGTATGGAAAAGCAGGCCTCAATAACCTGAGGATTTAGAGTAGGTTAAAGTTCTCCAGGAAGCTCAAAACTCTAAGATAGTTAGGTTGGTGATAGAGAAATTTATGCCCAAGTCTCGAATTAAAGATCTGGAGATCAGATTTAACAAATCAGAGCAGCAGCACTTTATCAGATCAGTGGAGATATTGGTATCCCGATGGGAAAGAGAGAAATTCCAAAGGGATTTTTTTTTTTTAAATTCCGATTAAGCTTATTTATTGAAAAATATTACAATCTGTCTCAAGGACATTTATAATATTGCTCACAGATCACATTCACACTCTATGTACAGTAAATAAAATAAATTATACAGAAAAATAATATATATACAATAAATAAGAACAAAATAACCTAAAAATAAATAAATAAAAAGAACACATACACACCTATATACAACATTTACAATTTGGCGAGAGAACTCCAAACCAGACTTGTCCCTCCAACTGTGGAGGGAAAAGTATGACTCCAGGAGTTTCCTGCATTCTTCTCTCAACCGCGTCACTAGGGCTAAACCCAGTGGAGATTGAGCAAGAGTGCTTTAGCCACATACACTCATTTCGTGAGTGGAGAATCTGGCCATTGCCAGAACTCCAATATTTACAAACTATAAAAGATCGCGGGGCCACTGCCGTTTTAACCTCCTTGGAGGATTATATGGATGGGTGGTGCTGGATAGAGATTGTGCAAAGGGATTTGGATGATGGGTAAGGTTCTGGTGGATTTTGGAGAATTTTGCTGAGATAAGGTCTAGGACAAATGGAATATTAAGGTCATGGTGTAGGGTTTTGTTGGTTACATAGAAAGGAGCATTGACTATTGTTCGAAGGACTTTGGATTGGAAGGATTGGATGCGTTTGATGTTAGTAAATTTTGCTGTTCCCCACAGTTCAAGTCCGTAAGTCCAGATAGGTTTCAGTATTGTCTTGTAGATCAGTTTCAATCAACTTGTTTTCAATGGAAAGTTTTGATTTTCTGTTTAGTAGCCGGTATACTTGTCCGTATCGTCGGTTTAGTTCCTGTCTTTTAAGTCTAGTATGAGGGTTCCACGTTAGTCGTCTGTCTAAGAGAAAGCCAAGGTACCGGATTGTGTCTGAGAAAGGAAGCTGAATGGAATTAGTGTACTGGTGGACAGAAACTGCGTCGGAGCGTGAAGGTGATGTGTTGGCATTTGGATTCGTTTACTTTAATACGCCATTTAATACAGCAGTGCTCAATCAGGGAGAGGTGTCTTTGAAGGTTTAAGGAGGCTATATCAGGAACTGAGTCGGATGATAGAATGGTGGTGTCATCAGCAAAAGTTGCCAGGAAAATATCGGGATGGACAGGGATATCGGCGGTAAAGAGGATGTAAAGGACGGGACCCAATACGGTACCTTGAGGAGCACCTGCCTCAATTGGATAGCAATTCGATAATTCACTACCGCATCGAACTCGGAAGGTACGATCTGAGAGGTAGGAACGGAGGACAAGGTATAAGGACTGAGGAAGATAGGTTTTCAGCTTGGAAAGAAGCCCGGTGTGCCATACCCGGTCGAAAGCTTGAGCTATGTCCAGAAATGCACCCGTGCAATATTGCTTGCTTTCCAATACTGCGGAAATATGATCGACCACTCGGAGTCCTGTTGGACTGTGGAGTGTTGTGAACGGAATCCGAACTGATGTGAAGGAAAATTTTGGGATTCTATAAAGGGTAGGATTCGTTTCAGGAGGATCTTTTCAAAGATTTTTGAGAGAATCGGAAGTAGGCTAATTGGTCTGTAGGACGTTGAGGTATTGGGAGGTTTGCCTGGTTTCGGAAACAGGATAATAGTGGAATGTTTCCACAAAAGAGGAAAGTGGGTGGTTCTTAGGATGGCATTATATAAGTAGGTGAGAAATATAACAGCTTTAGGAGGAAGTTGTCGAAGGATTTGAGAGGTAAGGAGGTCGTATCCAGGAGATTTACGGAGAGGAAGTTTTTGTAAGTGATGTTTGACCTCAGAAGGATTAACTGCTTTAGGGGGCAAGGAAAGTGGAATGGGTGATGTAAGGAATTCTTCTACTGTTGTGGTATGGGTGAGGTTGGATTCCGGATGAGAGGTAAATGTTCTGGAGAGGTGTCTGGCGAATTCATCAGCTTTATCTTCATCAGACGCTGCTCAGGAGCCATCGCTTCGACGGAGGGGATGGGAAATATGATGGGATTTTAGGATTTTGTTGGTGATCTCCCTAAGGGAATTGTCATGAACAGAAAGAGAAGTAAGGGAGGAGTTGAAGGATTGGGATTTGAAGGTGGCCAATTCCTGTTTTAATTGTTTACTGTAAATATTATAGGAGCGACGATCGATGGGGTGTCTAGTACGTTGCCATAATAATCTGGCGCGGCGTTTGGTATGGATTAGGTCTATGAGGTGTTGCGGTAACTTATTTTTCTTGGGAGTTCTTGAGGAGTGGTTTGGAGAGGAAGCAGTCCAGATTGCTTGTTAGATAGTGGTGGTGAAAATGTGTACGGCATTGTCAAGGTCATCTGGAGTTTTTAGGGTTATTCTGACCTCAGACTAACCCTAAAAACTCCAGATTTTATCGGATAGGATTTGGTGAAAGAGTTTCCAGTTAACTGGGCCTCTGATGAAGGACAGTGGAGAAGACTTAGGAATAGGAGCTAGAGATAATTGGAGTAATAATGGACTATGATCTGAGAATAGTTCGCCAAGATGGGTAAGGGAATGATTGAGGGGACCTAAGCCACTGTGGATGAAAAAATCAAGGATATCGGGATTGCGGTTAGGATCTGTGGGCCAGTAGGTAGGTGACTTAGGAGGAAGGATACTGAACCGTTGGGAATTGAGTGCAGATAACAATGTTCTGCTACGAGAGTTCGTGGTTCTAGAACCCCATTGATGGAGCAAGTCTGGATCTGAATTTGAGGGCTAAGAATGTGGGCCGGATGCATCCTAGGAAGGAAAAAATAACGAAAAACGCTTTAAAATAAAACATCTTGAGGATAAAATTCTCTTTCTAAATCACTGATTAATGTCTAACATATTTGAAACGGTTCTTTAGAAAATGCTCTTAATCGACGGAAAAAAGCGGCACTGGCCTAGACAAATACCTTTCTCAGCCACCTCATAAATGGCATAATTATAGTACTACTCTCTTCATCTGTTTGCTACATATTACTTCCATCAAATAACGTTCCTTGTTATATTTTCGAAGATTTTAGATCTTCTCAACAGTGATCGCAGAATCTCTGTTTTCTAGCGGTTTTTCTTCTTCGCTTCTCATTATCTATTTATATCTTTTCCCCATATCTAACACTCCTCTCTGAAATTAAATTTCTAAGTTGAGGAGAGTTTTGAAAGGTGCGGGTAAGCCCTCATTTCTGCATCCCACTGATTTACTAGGAAGAAGATCGAACGCAATAAAGGACTCAGGTCATTCTAGCTCACTTATTTTATTAATTAGTTTATAATTGACATAGAGTTTCTATCTCTCATTACTGACAACTATTCCTATATCCACGTATCCTACTCCATCAAAATAACAAATTTTATAAATATTTACTTCACTAACTCTTATAAGGCAGGTCATTGAAGACTTAAACATGGGGGAGGGGTCGAAAACTTGGATTTTGTATTTCAGTCATATCTTATACAAGAAAATATAAAGAAACCTAGTCTCTTTCAATGCAACGTACGATGTATAAGGTTAGTGGGTTAGTAAAATTGGAAGATTTGTATTCTGAAAAGAAAAATGTTTCTCACTTTTATAAAATAAATAAAAGCCATATTATCTTAAAATTTTCTAGTTCGAAATATTCCAAAACTGAAAACCTGTATCTCAAAAACTATTAAATTTTCCGACCCTGTTCTGGTCTTGAATTTTAGCATATTTAATCTAGTTTAAAAATGTGTAATGTATTTTTTTTTTTTAATATGTGCCTTAAATATACCGCTTCATGGTCAAAGTGGGTAAAAATCGAAAAAAAGTGCGAAAATATAGCAGTTTTTGGGATTTTCAAAAGTGATCCGGGGAAGGGAGAGAGGGGAGTCGCCGAGGTCAAAAACTTGGATTTTGCATCTCAATCATATCCCATACAAGAAAATAAAAAGAAACCTATCCATATTGGATGCAACTTAGACTTCCCTTTTCATGACAAGGTTACTGGCCTACAACGGGGTGGTTCCATTGTAAATGAACCGACACTGCTTGATCACTTCAGGAAAAAAATATACTTGATAGTAAGTGCCATTCCTTGATGTTTTTCTAATTCGCAATTAACTTGTTTACATTTTTATTGTATCTGGTTTGTGAACAGCTGACATTCATGGGATAGTTTGTAGACAACCTAAGGACGGTAAATTGAACAAGTCATAGAAGTTAACTTCTATAACTAAAATTACCTCATATATAAGACATCCTAGGGACCATACATCGCTCGTAAAGGTGTACGGAAGTTCATGAAGACGTTCTGGACTCATGTAGTAAGGAGTGCCGACGAGAGACCTGGCAGCCAGCGTCCTTGCGGAGAAGTACCTGGACAGGCCAAGATCGCCAAGCTTGACAATACCTCCGCGGCTGACGAACACGTTGGCAGGTTTAATATCTACCATGGAAAAAATAGATTAGAAATTAGATTTTTATTAACTAAGGTAGGAAAAAAAGTGTTAATGCTTTATATGGTAAGTATGTTTTATACAATTAAACATACTATATCATAAACCTATGTAAATGGTAATAATGTAGGCCGATAACTTTATTTTAGTACGTTTACTTCATAAAACAGGTATGTTCAAAAATCTAACATACATCTATATTTATTATATTATAATGACAGTTTGGTTTCTCTGAATTGTACCGTTTATTCTCTAAAACACGAACCTCTGTGCATGATCCTCTTTAGGTGCATGTGATGAATGCCGCTAGCCACCTGGACGAAGTACTTCCATATCGTCGGTTCGGGAATGAGCCTCCGTTGCCTTCTGAAGTGTCGAATCATCCTACCCAGGTCTCCGGCATCCGCAAGCTCTAACACTATGTTCAGTTCTTCTCCCTCTACGAAGGAGGAAATGTAACGAATGATGTTGGGGTGGTCCAGTTGCTGGGAACAATAATTCTCAGTAATAATCTTCTGAATCAATTAGCAAAAATTTTAATTGTAAATTCGATTGTGGAAATAAGACTTTTCATTAGAATATCGTTGGGGCGTGAGGCTACATTAAAAACAGTTCGAAAAACTTAATCACGATCCAAATGAAGGCACATCACAGATACAATGGAATGTAGTAAAATATCGATAAACAAACTTATTTCTTAATTAGAATTTCGGAATATTTGAAAAAAGTATTTCATTAGGCATGTTACTATTGTTTTGAGCGAATGGCTTGTTGGTCTGAGGTCCACATTGAGACCTCCACTAAGTCCCATTTTATTTTCTGTAATAGGAAATTTGGAACTTTTTATATTTGTTTTAAAAAATCTAAACCAATAAATTTTTAAATTCATTCAGCAATCTTATTTTGTTTTTTTAAATTCTGTATTTAAAATCCTTATTGTTTATTTACCATGACTTTTATTTAAAATTCTCCAAAAACAGATCAGCCTAAAAAGTATAATCTTAGAAGAGAAGGTTCGAATGTAATTATTAAAGTGTAGGTTTTTAGAGGGAAAATAAACCTTGTTTACCATTCTAAACCCGATGATTTAAAAAATATCAGACCTAATAGTTGAGGATCGAAACTGGTTATTCCCAATTTTATTATATGAAAAAGGGCACTTCAAAATTAACATGTACATTCCTTTTAGACAAAGTAGTTCATGAAGGAAAGAAAAAAAAATGAATAAAAAATTGACTGTCAGGCCAATACCCAGCCATTAAAACGATTGTAATCAGCTATAGCCATTTAATATTATCTGCGATAGTCACCATGAAAAAAACAAACAAAACAAACAATAGTTGCATGCGTGTTTATTGATTAAAAAGATGTATAGGACGATAGAAAAACTTAAAATTATTTGGATTGTTGAATATATTTTGCCGACTTTTTTTATCAAAATGCTTTGAAGTCAATTCCTTCTTATGTTCAACTGGCTATAAAAAATTAAAAATTAAATAAAAATACAGATTTATCTATACTTTGCAATAAAAAAAAAATGGAATCAAATGAATTCGAATGATTAAACTATTTATATTTTTATATCGACACAATTAACTATATTTATGTTAAATCTTTGTAAATTTTTTTATTTATTTATTTATTTTTTTTTATTATATACATTACAACATGTCATACTGATAAGCTACATGTTTATGGTTGCATTAACCTTTCACATGACATAATGGTGGTTTGAATACTACTTAGAAAATTGAAATTAATTTTTTACAGTAGGAAAAATCTCATAAAAACCTACATAAGATGTAAATGAAAAAACTAGGTTACAATTATTAAAAGTACAAGAAAAACTAAATATAATTTATGTGCAAAAGGAAACTATATATATATATATATATATATATATATATATATATATATATATATATATATATATTTACACATACAATACTTACTCACACAACACACACACACACACACACACATATATATATATATATATAGATATACATATACACACACACACACACACACATATCTTTGTAAATTTATAACTGATTACAACTTAAAATGATAACAAAAGTAGCAAAATACCACGGAAAAAGAATATCTTTCTATATTTCGTTGAAAAAAAAATTATATTTTTTTAAAAGTAATAATCCAGTAATGCTTATTTACTGTTACAGCCACTACCGTATTCAAGCCCTCCTCCCCTAAAAAATAAAAAATAAAATAAATAGAATATTTAATTGGTTTTTCATTGTTCCATTTTTATTTATATGAATAATCTGAGCCAAATACTTAAAAAATTACAATATATTCCCTTTTAAATTATTTGACACACATTTCATCTATAACATATACGCACGTGCCAAGGAAAAAAATATATCTCTAAAGGCATTATTGTTCTTGTAATTGCCATTATTAAAAAAATAAATCATTCAGAATTATTAATTAAGAGGGATAGGTAACCGATCGGGCAACGCGTTTGCAATACAGGCGTTGTCTGGAAACCTGATAACCTGAAGATTACGGGTTCGAGTCCCGGTGTTGGGGTCATTTTACTTTCGCATTAATCCTCCGCCCTCTCCACTGGGCCGGGAAAAACCAAACAGCCGAGGAGGTTATATAAGGGAGAAAATAAAACACATCTATAATTCTATCATGTTTTGTGCTGGCATTATGCACAATACCAAACCCATAGCTGAGGATTATCAACTAAACCCGTAGTAGAATATATGACAACAACCGGCACCCAGCAAGGATCATCCAAAAGTACCTTCGTGAGGCAGGTATTCGACGGAATATGGCCACCGTTTTCTTCCAACATGAACCCTATCGAGCATGTTAGGGATTTGCTTCACAGGGCTGACCAACGTCGATCGAAAGTTACAACCAGTGCCCAGGAAATGAGGGATGCTGCTGTAGAAAACCTGAACCAAAACACCGTTAACCACTTGATTATGAGCCTCCCAGAACTCGTATAGGCCTTAATTAGAGAAACAGAAGGCAATACTGACTGCTGAAAGTAACGAATGGATTTAAATTGTAAAATTTAAAGAATGGTTTTTTTTGTGTTTTCTATTTTGTGGATTTCAGAAGAAAGTATTCGTTAATCATTGAATGCATACCTTTTAGGGTTTAGCAAAAACAAAAGTGATTCTAAAATTTTTTTGATGTGTACATACTAAATAGGTTTTCTGTATAATATCATTACCGTTAAATAAGTTTTTAAAGGAATAATAATTTGTTTATGACTTGTTATTCCGTATTATTGTTAATTGTTTATGTCTGTTACTCCAGTTTCACTCTTTAATCTTAAAACATTTGAATACATGTTACTATTCCTTTCTATTTAGCATAGAAGAAGAAAGTATCAATAATTTATTTAGTATGTCTTTATCCACTAAAATAATTGTTGAAAAATATTTGTTTGTATTCTTTATAACGGTCAGTTAACGGTGTCTACATAAACGATTTGTCAGCAAACCCATTGACCTACAGAAATGGGATCGATTATGTTTGCCGATTAGATGGAAGCAATTATTTTCAAATTAAACTGTCAATACTCAGGTCAGATCGTAACTGATTATTTTTCATATAATTATGTATGTATTTAGAAACGATAAAAAAAAAAAAATATATGAAAAATCTACTGGTCGCATAACTCACAGAGTTAATGAGTGTTAGATATTGATAGATTATCATTTTTGCTATAATGTCTGTTGTCATTATTTTTAACTAATGTACTTTTGAAATTTAAGAATAATTTCTTTATTGCAAGAGAATTTTCCATGTTTTCTTTTCATAAAGTATTTCCTATACTATTACATATTCTATATCGAAAAGAAAGCTGATAAAATTTCCTGACAAATAAAAATAGAACCAGCTCGAATTTTTTTTTTTTTTTCGAACGCACTAAAGATTTAGGACGTCAAAATCATCAAATTAGTCCAATTGATTAGTAGTTGGATGGAGAAAAAAATCAAATAGTAGGTTTTTATGTTTTTTTAGGATGCCGATTCTTGATGTCCCCGAACGAAATTGTACATTGTGTTTCCAGGTAAATACAAAAAACATCGAAATTGCAGAACTTTTTTTAGTTTTTTGGACACGACTACGAAACTATACATTTTATCGAAATTAATACCATCTAGAAAATTAAAGAAGAGAAAATTTACTATCAATTCATAGCTTTTTGATGTAGAGCCAACGGGTGAGGAGTAAGAGCATGTTGACCGTTTGCTTATTTCACTATAAATATCTGTTTTCGTCGGTTTCTTCCCTGAAATCTCATAATCTAGGGATCTCTCGAAGAAATTCATTATAATCAATTTGAAAAAGCATTAAATTTCCTATGTACCTCATGCGGATAAGTTAATATGTGAGATGGTTATGTGGATGTTAAGGCGCACGGAATCGAAGGTGATTTCACTCATAGTATCTGCCACACTCAACCTAAGATTTACTTTTTGTCTTTTCAATGCTTTTGATTCGGCTAATTTATCTTTTCTTAAAACCAAACTAAAATGTATTAAAAAAATCTAGTTTTTATGTATTGTTAGTATGAGAGACCTCAGAATTCATTATAATGAAAAACTTAAGAACCGAAATGCGCTTTAAAGGCCAAGTGCTCCAATGGTTTTTCAACTTTTCGTATATTAACGATTATACCCGAGCACAATAAAAAATTTTATGCACAGTCAATTTAATTCAAGCTTATATAGAGTTGTAATATACGAGTAGGCGAAATGTTAAACTGCTCGGACTTTGAAATGCATTTTGGTCCTTTTTTTTTTTTTTATGATTGTTGTGTGATGTTGAAGTCTCTCATGCCAACAGAATATATAAAAGCTATCTAATTTATTTATACATTCTAGCTCGGTTATAAAATAGTTAAATTTCTAAAAATAGAATAAAAAGCACTTCAGTTGAGAGCGGCAGACACTGCAAGGGAAATACGCCATCGATTCGATGAGCTTTAACAGTCGCTAAATATCACATCGTAAGGTGTCTACGTGAGGTGCATAGGAAATTTAATTCTCTTTCAAATTGATTATATTGAATTTCTTCGATAGATGCATAAATTATGAGTTTTGGTGAAAACCGACAACAATTTTTTTCTTGTGAATAAAAAAAAGCTAACAGTCAATATTTTTCAACTCCTCAACCGTTGGCCCTACATAAAAAAACTGTTTATAAAATTGATAGTAAATTTTATCTTCTTTGACATTGTATATAATAATAATTTCTATAGAATGCATAGTTTCGGAGTCTTATCCAAAAAATTAGAAAAAGTTCGGAAATTCGCTTGCACATTTCACATTGGTTGCACATATCACGAAATGCAATGGAGAATTTCGTACAGGAACATCAAATTCAATTTCATCATTTCAAAAAACATAAAAAAACCAAAGTGAAGCAGACTTTTTGAATTTTCCCTCTTCCAGCTACCGTCCGATTGGCCTAATTTGATGACTTTGGCGTCATCAGTTTTCAAAACGCAACCGATTACATTGTCGGTGGAAATGAATTCTCTTTTAGGGACATATTCTTGAAATCATATCAAAATTTCAGCCATCGGATCTAGTCGGAAGATGAACCATGGAATTTTGCCACTTTAATTTAAATCTCCCAACGAAAATATTAATTTCCGTCAGTCCTACGTAACAATAATTAAAATATTAAGGACCCAAATTCGCTTCAGAGTCCTAGCGGTCCAACGACATTTCTCCTACTCACATATTACGACTCTACATAAGCTTGAATTAAATAGAAAGAGCATCAATATTCTTATCGAGCTCGGGTTTAATCGTTAATATACGAAAAAGTTGAAAAACCATTTAAGCGCTTAGACTATGAAGCTCATTTCGGTCCTTAAGTTTTTGATTATTATGAAGGTTGATGTCTCTTATACTAAAAAGCAGTGTAACTTGTTTATACATTCTAGTTCTGTTATAAACATAGTTAAATTAGCCAAATCAAAAGCTTTGAAAAGGCAAAACGTGCTCGTATCTAAGTGCTTCGTAAATTTTTTTATTGTGCTGTTTGTATTTTGTTTATGTGTGTTTGTTTTGCTGAACCCTAAAGTTCTGCTCCATATCTCCATATTGGTCTCAGTAAGGTGTTGTAAATCAGTCGTTTGTTTCGTAAGTTAAGTGAAGATCTGTAGTCCAGAGGATGTGAAAGTTGGCTATATCGTCTAGCAAGTTCTTGTCTTTTTAATTTCGTATGTATGTTCCAAGTAAGTCTTTTGTCTAAGTAGAGTCCAAGGTACCGTACATAGTTCTTTGAAGACACTGGATTATTGGTAATCGTTATGGGTGGACATGAGGCTTTCCTAAGAGAGAAACTAACGTGGGTGGATTTATTACTATTTATTTTGATTTTCCAGTTTTCAAACCACTAGGACAATTGATGCGATAGTAGGCATATAATTATAAAATTTCGTTCGGGAACATCAAATTCAGATTCAGCATCCCAGAAAACATTATAAACCGAAGAGGAATCAATTATTTGAAATTTTCCCCATCTAACTACCATTCGACTGGATTCTTCAAACTACGGCTCGCAAGCACCTTCAATAAGCGAAAGTTTCTTTGATTACATGCTAATATGAAATTGAAAAAACAGCTCACACACAAGGTTACTACAACAGTCATTGAGTGGATTTATTTCCCTTATAAAGCTGGTTTCATTGTTGAAGTGTTATTTACAGAAATTTTTTTTTTTTTCATCACAAGCCATGACTTGGGTAGACGTCTCAATGCAGCCAAAAAGTTTAGAGGCTCTGGGCTAGACTAATTTGATGATTTTGACGTCGTCAATCTTAAGTGCGTTCTAGCCGCCAAATGAAATAAAATAGGGGAGGGGAGAGTGTGGTGGACGCCAAATGAAATAAAATAGGGGAGGGGAGAGTGTGGTGGACGCCAATGATTTATTTAAATATTGTTTGTAGTGGACGGGCGCACATTGGGACGAGTAAGGAAAAACTCCCGACATCGCCTAAAATTATTTTTATGTTTTTTAACCAGTCCGCTGGTGTTCCTCAAGGTAGTATCTTAGGTCCTATCCTCTATACAGTTTATACAGCTGACATCCCAACCTATCCCAACACTGTCATCATCACATATGCCGATGACACATGTATCCTACAGTAAATAATGACCCATCAATTGCATCCCAAATGCTTCAATCACACATCATAAATCTTGAAGAATGGTGTCAAAACTGGAGAATTAAAATAAACTCCAATAAATCCTACCAAATTACCTTTACCCTTCGTCGTAAACCAACGACTTCCTGTCCTACAGTTTCCTTTAACAATACTCCACTTATCCCTGTTGAGCAAATCCGATACCTAGGACTCCACCTGGACAAACGACTAACTTGGAATCCACATACTAGAATGAAACGACAAGAAACCGGTCGACGTTTCCGATTACTTCAGCACTTACTGGACAAACGTTCTAAACTTCCAATTAATTACAAAAGACTCATATACTTGACTATAATAAGGCCTATTTGGACTTACGGAGTTGAGCTATGGGGCTCCACTAAACCATCGAATTCCTCTTTATATCCAATATCCAATCCTTACAATCCAAAATCCTTCGTAAAATCCTCAATGCTCCCTACTTTGTTACATATAAAATCATCCATAATGGCCTCAATGTTCCATCTGTATGTTTCAGATCTGGCCCAATCCAGATACTTATCCTTCCATAATAAACTTCAGAATCATCCCAACCCTCTCGTTTCTACCTTGCTTCTTCTTCAATTCCTGATAACACTCGAGGCGTCTAAAAAGAAGATGGCAACGTGATCTCCTAATGTAGATATATCATTAGAGTGCCACCATTGGGCAGTTACTCAGCAAGTGTTTTCATGACATTATATCCATTATGTTCAAATTTACTAGATGTATTTATTT